TGGCTTTATATGTGTTAACACCAGCGGCTAATGTCACGGATTGTTTACACGGGGAGCATGGCTGGCCACGTCTCAGCTATGGAAGGCTCACAGGTGTGTTCCTCATAGTTAGGGATAAGCCTCTGTTTACAGTTGCAGTCCGGGCTGACCTGGACATGGGTGATGGATGTGCTTACAGTGAGGTAAGGATTCCAGTGATAATGGGTGGGAAATGGAATTTCAGACAAAAATTTGCATGCAAAAGCTACATAACAGTGTCATGCTTTTAAAAGTACGGTCTTTTCTTGCTTTAAGGTAGTGGACACTTAGAAGAATTTTGTAAACTCAAAAATGGATGGGCTGATTTTATATATGCAGTGAGGGGTACATTGATTTTCATCTATACTAAATGAAATCATTCAACTTGCAGCCCTTTATGATTTTTTTTCTTTTTTTAGTTTTTGTTGTTTTTTCTTTTGTTGTGGCAAAAAATTTTTTCAAGATTTATTTATTAGAAAGAGAGACATAGCTGTCCACTTCCCAGGTGGCTGCAGCAGCGAGGGTTAGGCCAGGCCAGAGTCGGGAGCCAGGAGTTGCCAGGGAGGAAGCTTTCCCAGGCCAGTGGACTGGACGTGAACCAGCACCCATGTGGGTGCTGCTGACATAGCGACTTTGCTTATTACACCACACTGGCCCGTGCTTGACTTCTTCCCCACGGCCTAGTGCTTTTGTAGTTCACCTGCATAGTGGCATGCAGCAGTGTGCTCCTGCATGTTCTTGAGTGATATTCCATTTTTATTAAATATTTATTTTTATTGGAAAGGCAGATATACAGAGGAAAGGAGAGACAGAGGAGAAAATCTTCTGTCCTCTGACTCACTCCCCAACTGCCACAATGGCCAGATCTGAGCTGATCTGAAGCCAGGAGCCCAGAGCTTCTTCCAGGTCTCCCCCGCAGGTACAGGGTGCCAAGACTTTGAGCCATCCTCCACTACTTTCCCAGGCCACAAGCAGGCAGCTGGATGGGAAGTGGGACTGCCAGTACCCGAACTGGCACCCATATGGGATCCCGGGCAAGCAAGACGAGGGCTTTAGCTACTAGGGCCCATGATACTCCATTTTATAGAAAACCCTAGTTTCCCCTCTCACTGTGTTTGGCCTTGGGCATGGTGGTGCTTAGGAATAGTGCAGCAGCACACAATCCTTAGAGGTGTGCAATTTGCATTTCTGTCAGGTAAATACTTAGAAGCCAAATTATGTGCATACTTTCTGTGCATGTGTGTGTGTTAAGTGTGTTTTTAATTTGTAAGAAGCTGCCAAGCTGTTCTCCAGAGTGGCTGTCTCTTTTTACATTCCTGCCCCCAGTGTGTCAGACCTCAGTAATTGAGCCTGGCAGCACAACTGTGCGTCGTGGGGGCAGTGGACCTGAGGGGTGGTGGAGAGGCTGTTGTCCCCGTGGCAGCCTTTGTGGCCCCTGCCCTCCTGGGAGTGCCTCACCCTGGGCTTTCTCCGAGGCTGAGGAAGCAGCCCCAGCGGACCTCATCTGCAGCCTTATTACCTGAACTCAGAGCGAGCTAAGGACCCAGGCTCTCCCGTGAGTCATAGTCAGCATTATGGCATCATTTCCAGGAGAGTCTTAAACCAATGGAATGGAACTGCGGGGAGGGGCCTGCCTGAGAAGACTGACTGTCAGAAGATGGATGATGTTCTGTGGGCATTACCTGCTCGCCCCTTCATGGGTGAGTGTGAGGCATGTGGGCAGGTGGACTGTAATATGACCCTCCTCTCCATGGTCCACACGCTACAGTAGCCTTGGCAGCAACTGCTTATACTCGAGGGTTTCTGGGAAAAACTGGGTTTTGGACACCTTGGATGTTTAAAACCATTAAAACAGATTCCACTCCTCTGACTGCCTTTGGAAAGGGTGAGGGCAAGAACGAGGGGGAGAGTGTGTGCCAGGTGCAGTAAAACAGGCGCTGTGGGTCATTTCTTTCTCCTGACCTGGCCAAGGTCCCCAGAAAGGGAGCTGATCTGCTCTGTAACCCTACTGTCCTTGTGATAGGAGCTTCTTAAGGAGCTCAGAACAGAAGCCCCACATCTGCATCTGCAGTGGTGAGGAATATGTGAAGCCATGCTCCTGTTGGAATTGAGAGCTCAACATAATCATTAAAGCAGAGGCATCGTAGAACAGGGCTGGGTGCACAGAATGCACTGAGGCGTCCTACTTCATCCTGTGTGATTAAAAGGAATCCTGCTGAGCACATTGATGAGTGGTCACGACCCACTGAGCCACTTCCATTTCTACCAGTAACCTGGAACCCAAAGGGAGCGAGTCAGGGACTTGGAGTCCCACAGAAGAGTTCATTGGCAGAATCAGAACTGGAACCTGGCCCCACCTCAGTCCAGGCCAGTTAGCCTGTGTAATTCCACCTCCCATGTGGAAGTTTCCTGTCATCAGACTTGGCTCAGGCAAGTCTCAGCCTTGTAATTCCCACCTCTCTAAACAAAATGATGATTTTCCAAGGAGAGTGTCCTCTGCACTGCTGGAGTAGGGCACACAGGGAAGGTGGCAAGGTGCTGCATCACTTGCTTCTGGAGACATGGAAGAAATGGAGGAGGTAGAAACCCTTGCAGGACAAGGTAGAAACCCTTGCAGGACACAGAGCCATTATTCTAGAGAGATACAATGAAGGACCTATTTGTGTTTTTCTTTAAGTGTTATTTTCGGCGTTTTAAAAAAAATTTTTTTTAATATTTATTTTTGTTGGAAAGGCAGATATACAGAGAGGAAGATCTTCATCCATTGATTCACTCCCTAAGTGGCCACAACAGCCTTAGCTGAGCCAATCTGAAGCAAGGAGCCAGGAGCTTCTTCCAGGTCTCCCACATATGAGTACAGGGTCCCAAGGCTTTGGGCCATCCTTGACTGCTTTCCCAGGCCACAAGCAGGGAGCTGGATGAGAAGTGGGGCCGCTGGGATTAGAACTGGCACCTACGTGAGATCCCAGGCATGTGTGAGGCAAGGATTTTAGCCACTAGGCTGCTGTATCAAGCCTCAAAGACCTGGTTTTTCAGTCCCCAGTGCCTGCAGCAGCCGTAGCTGAACCAGTCCAAAGCCAGGAGCTTAGCTTCTTCCAGGTCTTCCCCTTGGGTGCCAAGGGCCCAAGGACTTAGACCATTCTGCTGCTGTCCCAGGACACAAGCAAGGAGCTCAATTGGAGGTGGGGTTGCCAGGACACAAACTGGTACCCATATGGGATGCTGGCTCTGACAGAGGATTGTCTAGTTGAAAAATTTTTTTATGGAATTTAGGGATGGATACAAGAAATAGCCCAGAGAAAGGTATTTTTATATTTAATTGAATACATTGATTAAAAAAAAAAAAGAAATACATTGAATGGATCCTGAACAGAGAAGAAAAGGTTTGCAGCCTCAGCATTGCTGTGACGGTGCAAGCAATTTTACACCTTTCTGAAAACTTTGGGTTGTGTTCTCAACTCTGGCCCATAAGGAGCATCTTGTACTTTACCAGGCCTTGGTGCTGGTGAGTTGAGTATGAATCACTAGTTTTCCTTTGTTGTTATTCTGTACATGGTAAATTAGTGCGGGTGAACTAGTTGTTATGGAAATGGAGAAAAGGCATCTGAGAGCGCCATCTCCTGGAGAGACTCTGGAATGACTAGGACCTACTACTCATTAAGGTTCCGTTGTCTTACATTTTGGACCCTTCCTATCCTGGGGACTTCCATGGTGATTTGAAGGTACCATGAAATCAGATCAGGACCTTTGTGTCACTGCTCTTTACATGAAGAAAGATTATTATTATTAAACCTGGAGTCCATTTGGGCGCCCACAGGTTTTTCTCTAAAAGAAAGAAAGAAATACTTAAGTCATTAGAGGCACTGACAGAAAATAGAGTTCTGTAAGGAGAGCACTCTCCTGGGCCACATGCCATGGCAGGCTGAAGCGTCAGGCCACAGGGCTGCTGCGTTGAGGCACTCGGCAGGCTGGGCTCGCTTGGGAGTCCTGGCTTCCCTTCCCTGGCTTCCCTATCAGTTTCATTGCAACAGGAAATGTTGTCTCCTCATGACGACGCAGCAGTCCTTGTGATCAGCCTGCCACACATTGGGTGCTTTACCTACATTCGTCAGAGGGCAGACCTCCCCGACCTAGCCTCATTTCCACCACCAGATTGGAGTCCTGGGGACTGGCCAAGTGTCCAGGAAGGTCCTCTGGAGATCCAGAGGTGTTGCCCAGACACTGTGAGTGCTCCTAGAGACTGCCGTGTGTGAGACCCAGTACACCATTGGCATGGCCTGCCCTGATGCAGCTCAGAGAGGGCGTGGAGGTGTGTTTACTAGCAGGTGGAAAGCCCAGGGCTTCAAGTGGGGGAATGACATGATTGCCCCTGCAGCTTGTCTTTGGGTAAAAGGAGTGCCCCAGCTTTTGATGATCAGGATAGAACCGATAAAAATTGTCGTGACCTGGAACACTGTCTTTCACATGAAGTTTGCCAGCTTTGATCAGTTGTTAGATACAAATGTTAATCATTAAAGCTGGTCACAGGCTCCATGGCTAATAAGGTCAGAGAGGATTGTGTATAACTTTGGGCAGATGTGTGGGGATACCTTGGGCCGGCAGATGTTATCAGGTGATGAATTAGTAGGTTTTCCTTGTATTAAGTGCATTTTATAAAGATAGATTTGGTCACCTTCAACTTAGACTTGACTGTCTTACTCAAAGATACAAGACTTAACTAGAATATTTGGTTTCAGATTGTGGTTTCACCTCACTGGGGCTTATTGACTGCTTGGTAGGCAGTGGTTGTTGGTGGGGCACTAGGATCGGAATCGCAGCCCTGGGCATCCCCCACCCCCACCCAGACTCCCAGTGTTTGTTTGGCCTCCCTTGAGTTCCGCCTGTTTGTCTTTCTACTAGAGCAGCTGGGCGGGCTGGAGGCTCTAAGGCGGGTCCCAGTCAGTTTCCAAATCCCTTGTCATAATTGTGTTTGTTTCTGGCAGAGCGTCCTGGCTTGCACAAGCCAAGCAGCTGAGACCAAACAGGAGAACAGACGGAGGACGAGCTGGCCGCAGGACTCCCGCCGCCTCCGCCTTCTCCCTGCCCCCTGGGCCCAGAGGATGAGCCCAGCCTTCAGGGCCATGGACACAGAGCCCCACCCCAAGGGCATCCTGCTGGAGCCCTTTGTCCACCAGGTTGGGGGACACTCCTGCGTGCTCCGCTTCAACGAGACCACTCTGTGCAAGCCCCTGATCCCAAGGGAGCATCAATTCTACGAGACCCTTCCTGCCGAGATGCGGAAATTCACTCCCCAGTACAAAGGTGAGCCCCAGCTTCCCGAGGGGGTTGCCAGGCTGGGGAGCAGGAGGCGTCCTAGAAGCCATCCCGGCTTGTCCTCCCTCCCTCCCTCCCTTCCACTTGCCGAGTTCTCCCTCCTCCTCTTGGCCCTCGGCCTGGCACCTCACACCCTTAGTTTGCAAACCCTGTTGAGATTGCTCAATTATGTTTTGTTTTGTGGATTTGTGTTGTGTTTCTTTTTGGTGGAAGTTTAGTTGTGTTTTATGTTCAGGTATCTCTAGATCACAGTAACCCATAGTCCCCCCCTCCTGAGGGGGGGCGCTGGGGGAAGACTTGGGGAGGATTTTACACAGCATACTTGCCGCCTGCTTTCTGTGCTCCAGGAACCCAGAAGGCCGAGTGATTAGGTAGGCTGGGGGCAGGGCTGAGTCAGATGGAATGCAGCCATGGGAGGCGGCGCTGGGGAGATGAAGCCCTTCACCCTTCACACTCGCGGATGGCCCCTCTGTGTGAAGGCACCTCTTGGATTCATTATGGTTAAGACTCCTTTTTCAGAATGCACCTTTGGGGGAGAGAGCCGCAGCCACTGGTTTGGTGGGGTGTGGGAGTGGGGTGTAAATCAAGACTGATTCTATTAAATGAATTATTAAATGTGCATTGCCTGGTTATATGAAATACTGAAATGATTTATGTTCTTTAAAGACAAAATGTACTGGGCTGTTCTGTACTCTGAAATGCATGTGTGGTATGGCGGAGGTGGGGAGTTGGGGGCCCTCACTTGGTCCTTCTCTGTTGTTTTTTTCCAGGACAAAGCCAAACACTCTTTGTTAGCTGGCCGCCCCTGTCCCTTTTTACCCTTGGTCATGTCTCCCGTAGCCACAGGGAAGTGTGGCTCCCTGAATTCCCCATCCTGGCTCCTCTGGTGCAGAGCTGGGGCCACTTCAGAAGTGTCGTTTCTTTCTGAGCACACAGTCCCCTGCAGCAAGTGAGCGAGCGGGCGGGCAGCAAGGACTGAGCAGATTGAGTGAGCCTGGGGCAGGAAGGCCGGGGAGGCCAGGTGGTCAGCCAGGCGGCTGTAAGGCGCTCGTCGGCACCTGCTGAATCGCTCCCACCCGACAGCCCCTCCTCAGAGACTGTCTCATTACACGTAGCAGGTTCTAGAGACTCAAGGGGCAGAGCTGCTTCCAAGGCCATCACACGTGTGTGCTCCGTGCACAAGCCTGTCCGTCTTGTGTTCATTTTGTTCTTTTGTGACATGAGACTGCAAAGACCAATAAAAACATTTGCAAGGGACAGAAGGCTTGAGGTGTCCCCAGTGTGGGGGCACTGCGGGGAGTCCCTGCTAGGGTGTCTGTTGTGCTGTGTGGTTTGTTTACCCCTTTATTTTGCTTTGCTTCCCTGGTCTCCCCCGACCCCGTGGATGCTTCTCACCACAAGGCAAAACTGCGTTCCTCCTGCTTTCGGGCTGTGCTTTAAAGCAAGCCTCCATGCCACCGGAGCTCCTCTTCAGGACATTACAAAGTCCCACGAGATAAAAAGAGCAATGTTTTGGCATCTTTCTTAGGATTAGAAGAGTTACATGAAAATTAATAATAAAACATTTTCAATGATGGAAAAATGTGTCTTGTAATTCTTTGGCTCTTGCCTTGTTGAGTGCCTCAGAGAGGCAGCCTCTCGGCCATGTCTGCTCCCTAATTGCTTGTCTTGTATGGTGTCATCTCTTCTAGCTGTTCTGATATTTGTTAGGTTTGCAGATGAGTTTGGGCCTCTGGCAACATAGAGACTAAGGAACAGGGTAAGAACAAACCAAATGTTAAAATCCTGTTTTCAGAATGCATCTTCCTGTGGGATTCAGACTCTTTGCCACTCCTCGTCCCCTCCGCAGGTGTAGTATCCGTATGCTTTGAAGAGGATGAAGACAGGAACTTGTGTCTGATAGCATATCCAGTAAAAGGGGACCATGGAACTGTGGACCTTGTAGACAATTCAGACTGTGAGCCAAAAACTAAGCTGCTCAGGTGGACAAACAAAAAGCATCATGTCCTAGAATCCGAGAAGACTCCCAAGGACTGGGTACGCCAGCACCGGAAAGAGGAGAAGTCGAAGAGGTGAGTCAGAGTGGGCAGGGAGCAGGGTGGGCTCCAGGAGGAAAAGGGTTGACAGTCCTGGGCACGGCTTGGTTCCCAGGAGATAAAGACTCGCCACGTACTTGGCAAATGCCTTGTCACCCAGTGGTGAGTTGGTTCCCATGTGGCACAACCAGCTTCTTTGACTTAGGGTTTAGGTCATACTATGTTGTGTAAACAGAGTTGGCAGATTTAAACAGCTCTGTGGCTGCTCCACCTGGTACTGTCCCTTCACCTCAGGTTACTTACTAAGGAGTGTCATGTTAAATGTTCTGGAAACTCAAGGAGGCAGGGCCTCCAAGTCCCTCCGTTGGCAGGGCATATGTACCCAGAGTAATTATAATGTACATAGAGTATTTATAATGTAGCTAAATTGATCAACTGACTTCTATGGAATTTCAGTTCAGATTTTGCTGGTCTCCAGTATTTTCGAGTTAAGGACACCTGGGTGTCTCAGGAGCGAGAGCCCTGGAATGGGGCAGGGAACAATGGCAGGTCATGTCCTGGGTTCTCCTTGTAGAAAGCATTGTCAGCCTGGCTCCTGATATGTTTTAATCAACCTGTTGAGGTTTGATACATATAATAAAGCATGCCTATTAGAAGAGTTCAGTGAATTTAGGCAGGCATATATACTATAACCACCACTATATCAAGATATCTAACTTTATTTTGTCACTCTAGAAAACTGCCTTTATGCCTGTTTGGCCCTATTTTTGGTAACATGTTGTGATTCAGCGGATCCTTATCTCTCTTTGTAGTCATAAGTTGGAAGAAGAATTTGAGTGGCTGAAGAAATCTGAAGTCTTATACTACAGTGTAGAGAAAAAGGGGAATGTAAGTTCCCAGCTTAAACACTATAACCCTTGGAGCATGAAGTGTCACCAGCAGCAGTTACAGAGGATGAAGGAGAATGCGAAACACCGGAACCAGTACAGTATCCTCTGCTCACAGGAGAGGGGCAGGCAGGAAGGCCCCAGGGGTTCAGTTGGACAAGTTGGGTTTTTTAAGTTGTGGTTGAATTTAAACTTCTCTTCCAGAGGTGCCACCAATCCCTATGTGCTGGCTGGGAGTAGGTGACACATTCCTCAGGGCTGGGAGTCGGCCTAGAAGTACAGCTGATTTGGCGTGCCAGCTATGGGGGCTTTGGGGGTGAGGAGGGCCTCACTGAAAGGACCAGCTAAACATGTGTGAGACCTGGAAGATGCTCTTGGCTCCTGGCTTTGGTTTGGCTCATCCCTGGCTGTCACAGCCACTTGGGGAATGAATCAGCAAAGGAAAACCTTCCTCTCTGTCTCTCTTCCTCTCTATGTATCTGACTTTCCAACAAAAACAGATCTTTAAATTTTTTTTCTTAAAGACATAAAACCTAGGGGGTCAGCGGTATTGGAACAGCAGGTTAAACCACAATTTGCAGTGCTGGAATCCCATTTTGGAGTGCAGATTTGAGCCCCGCACATTAATCTCTATCAAGCTTCCTCCTAATGTGCCTGGAAAAGCATCAGATCATGGCCCAAGCACTTGGGCCCCTGCCACCCCAAGGAGACCAGGATGGAATTCCAAGATCCTGGCTCCAGCCTGACTCAGATTTGGCTGCTGTAATTGTTTGGGGAAGGAACCAGCAGTTGGAATATCTCTCCGGCACTTCCTCTCTTGCCCTCTTCCTTTATCTTGTTGCTTTACCTTTCAAATAAACAAACAGAAATCCTTTTAAGAATATAGCATGGCAGGTAGAAGGACCACTGGATTTTCCTGTGAGCTCCCCTGTTCCCCAAGGAGAGTGTTGGGGGGCAGGGAGGGAACACCAGTGTCCCAAGCTGTGGCTTCCTATTGGGAAACTATCCTTAACTACTCAGAATTTATCTTACTGGAGAACCTGACTTCGCGCTATGAGGTGCCTTGTGTCCTGGACCTCAAGATGGGCACGCGACAGCATGGCGATGATGCATCTGAGGAAAAGGCAGCCAACCAGATCCGCAAGTGCCAGCAGAGCACGTCCGCCATCATCGGCGTGCGCGTGTGTGGCATGCAGGTGAGAGGCCCTGGCAGCTGCCACATCCCCACCATGGTGTTGGCCTCTTGATTCACAAGACTCCAGATTTGGGCCAGGCTTACATGCCTGGGTGATCTCTGAGATCAGCATGGAAAGAAGTGGGGAGAATGCAAGAGGGCTAGGTCTTTTCCCCTGACTGTTGAGTTAGGGGGCTGGGACACAACGACCAAATCTGGGGCTGGTGGATATTGACCAAAGAGGGTAGTAGCTCACTAGCAACTGGTCTACTTGACAAGAGATGTAATCCATCCTCTCATCCCACCCCAGACCAGGCCTTAACATGGGCTTCAGCCGCTGAACACTTGCTCTGTCTCCTGTAGGTATACCAGGCGGGCAGTGGGCAGCTCATGTTCATGAATAAGTACCACGGGCGGAAGCTGTCGGTGCAGGGCTTCAAGGAGGCACTATTCCAGTTCTTCCATAATGGGCGGCACCTGCGCCGTGAGCTCCTGGGCCCCGTGCTCAAGAAGCTGGTAGAGCTCAAGACAGTGCTAGAGCGGCAGGAGTCCTACCGCTTCTACTCGAGCTCCCTGCTCGTCATCTACGATGGCAAGGAGTGGCCCGAGGTGGCCCTGGACTCTGATGCCGAGGACTTGGAGGACCTGTCAGAGGAATCAGCTGACGAGTCTGCTGGTGCCTACGCCTACAAGCCCATTGGTGCCAGCTCTGTGGATGTGCGCATGATCGACTTTGCACACACCACCTGCAGGCTCTACGGTGAGGACAGCGTGGTGCACGAGGGCCAGGATGCTGGCTACATCTTCGGGCTCCAGAGCCTGATAGACATTGTCACAGAGATAAGTGACGAGAGTGGGGAGTGAGCTTGCCAACTGCCCCGGTACCTGAGAGACTCTCATGGTCCCAGGCTCAGCTGTGCTGCGTCAGGGAGGAGGCCAAGGTAGCCCGGCAGTGGCCCTGCAGCCTGGAGCTGACAGGCAGTGGCCCCTCAGCCCCAGCCCGAGCCAGCCCCGGCTGCGCTCCAAGTCTTTATTTATTTTAACTGTTTCTTCAACATTCCATATTTGATGATGCAGATACCTCTTTCGTCCTTGCGTGTACGTGTTCTAATACACATCTTCCTGTTTATGGTACACAGTGCTACTGTCATTCTTTCCAGGGGCCAGCAGCCCCCTCCACCCCTCTGAAGCCTCACCACATGCTGGGACCTCCTCCCTGACCCAACAGTATTCTGGCCACTCCCCCAGCCCCAGCCTACCCTACACATCCTGCACATTGTCACTGTCTCTTAGCTTGGTCCTCACTTGGCACCTAGAAATGACCCAACCTGCCACACAACTCAGCCAGCTAGTCCCTTCATGGTCTGATGACCAACTGTCCAGCACTCCTACCCCTAAAACCAGTCCTGACCCAGGTCTTCCCATGGCCCTGTGTGGCTTGCACTGAAGTTGGGCCACAAATACTGTGAACCTTGGGTCTACTCTTGTGCTCTCCTGTGATGCCATGGCAGCTAACTGGCTGCACACTGGCGGTAGCTGTCCTGGCACCAGTGCTGGGCCAAGGAGGCCCGAGGCTGTGACCCTTTGGCAGCCAGGGGTTTGGTGGTAAAGAGGCCCAGGTAGAGGGGTCAGTATGAAAAGCTAGGTTGTCCTGGCCACATACACACACCCCTGTTCCCACAGCTAGCCAGCTCTGGACCCCACTGCACTTCCTGCATCAGTCTGCTCACGCAGTCAGAGCTGCAGTGCTATGTCAGAAGGGTTTTTTTTTTTTTTTTTTTAATAAAGATTGGTTTATTTTACTTGAAAAAGCAGAGTGATTAAAATTTTCCAAGTTCTGAATCACTCCTCCCAAATGGTTGCAACAGCCTCTTCCAGGCTAAAGCAAGGAGCCAGGAACTGCTGTCCCCCATATGGACGGCAGGTCTCAAGTGCTCAAGCCACCAACTACAGATTCCCCCAGCACATCAGCTGAGACTCAAGCAAGAACTCCAGCGTGGGATGTGAGCATTGCAGATGGCCGTGTGACTGCTGCACCACAGAGGGAGAGGTCTCCAGCCCAGAACAGAGGAAGATGGGGTCTGAATGTCAGATTCCAGCACCTGCACCCCACACCTGAACCTCCCAGGCACACCTCCCCAGCGTCCCTGGGCCTGTGTCCCACCGTCAGAACACAGGCCAACTGCGGCAAAATGGTGTGGCTGGACCAGTCCCAAGCAGTCCTCTAGTCAGACTCTTCACAGATTTCAAAGACCTCGAGGTCAGGTGGACCAAGTAGTCGATTAGGCAGGTCAAGCAAGCATCCCCTCCTTGGCCCTCCCATAGTGTCACTATGGGAGCAAGAGGATTCAGTGTTGTCTTATGGACAATAAAACAGCAAAAGGAAAGCAAGTCACAGAGTGGCCTTGTTATGGGACGGAGTCCCAGAGAGAACAGAACATGTAGAAGGTAATGGCTGAGAGGGAGCAGGCTAGTGGAAGGGGTGGAGGGGTAGGGAAAGCCGCGCTGGGAGGATTTCGAACAAGAATAGTCCTATCAGCTCCCAGGTTTTAGAGTCCCACCTCCTCACACCTGCTCCCCTACTGTCCACAAAGGCCACAGTACCAGAGCAAGAGAATTGGTGAGGAACGACCTCGAAATTGAGGCATCCAGAGCCGGCCCTGCTCCAAGTGAAGGTCTCCAATACTGAAAACGCCCTCTCCGGGTCGCCGTCCTTCCTATTAGCAGGAAGGTGACTGCACTTGCTAGCTAGGAACCGAGGCGCCTTCACCAGGGAGTCAGACGGACTGCCGCGCTCGGACTTTTCGAGGGGAAAAAGGGAGCGGAGAGCTGTGCCTAGGGCCGGGACCAGGTTGGGTAGTGGTCCAGGGATGCTGAGCTGGAGGGGCGCATAGCGGAGGAATCCCTCCGCTCTCGCGCCCTGCCCCGTGGAGCCGCCAGGGGGCGCCGCACCCCCACGGCGAGGGCTGACACTCGCGGGGCGGGGCTGCGGCGGCCGGGAGCGCGCGCGCACGCGCCGTAGGTCACGGGGCGGGCCGAGCGCGGCGCGGCGCGGCGCGGCGCTCCCGGCCCGGCGTCCTGGCTCCGCAGCTCCCTGCCGCTTCCGCGGCACCGGCGCGGCCCGGCCCGGCTCCATGTACCGAGCACTGTATGCGTTCCGCTCGGCGGAGCCCAATGCGCTGGCGTTCGCTGCGGGCGAGACCTTTCTGGTGCTGGAACGCAGCAGCACGCACTGGTGGCTGGCGGCGCGGGCGCGCAGCGGCGAGACAGGCTACGTGCCACCCGCCTACCTGCATCGCCTGCAGGTGAGTGTGCCCTGCCTCCATGGCCCCTGCTACTGGACCCTTTCTCAGGTCCTGCAGAATGGAACTCAGGGAGCCCAGGAGCCCTGGTGGGACCGAGGCCGGGACTTGCAGCAGACAGGAAGTTTGCCTTCTTGACCCTTAAGATGCGTGGCGGAATGACGACTGCGGATCCCAAGCAGCAACATCAGTGCGAAAGGCCAGGAACCTCAGAGCAGAATTTGAGAGCTAGACCCTGTCTGCAACTCCCATCCCACCAAACGGAGACCCCAGACCCTTAAAAGGCCCTTTCCCGGGGTCCCACCTCATGGTTTCCCCCGTCAAACCTCCAACCTGGAGCTAAACCTCCACTTGAAACCTGGGTCACCTTGCCACCACCTGTTTCCCTAACCAGCCTCCCAGTCCCCAACCTTACTTGGGCCCTGGAGCCACAAACACCCTCATTCCGCCAGGTGACCCCCGCTCACCCCTCCCTGGTGACACTGCCTGTCACCCGGCCGCCAACCTCAGACCCCGACTTCCTCCCTCCAGAAGCGGCAAGCTCCGTCCCTGCTGGTGCCCAGCCTGGATCCTGGCAGCTTCCCCTGGGCGGCCCATGGCCCATTTCCTGTCAGTCGGTGCTGCAGTCCCAGTTCCCTCTATGGGGTGATGGGGCACAGGCCTGACACCTCCAAGCCCATCACATCCCCAACCTTGAGGGAACATGCACACACACACACACACACACACACACACACACACAGATGCCGTCCCTGTCTCAGTCCCAGCCGAGGACAGAAATAACTGGATAAATTGGGAAGTGTCATCTGGTCTGGCCTGAGGGGCTAGGCCCTTCCAGGGCCTTGGGGATTCCTCTCAGACCCTCAGCCTGAGCCCATTGAGCATGCCAGGGGCTTGCTTGGGGGCATCTTTGGGGACAGCCCTGCCCCTTCCCCTGCACATGATCCTTGTCAGCTCTGTTGTCTGCTCTGTCCTCCCTGGGCTGTCTTACATCTTGCTGGTGTCTCCCAGTGGCTCTGCTCCTACTGTTTGCTTTTCCAGACTCCCCCACTCTGTCCTTCTCTGCCTGCCTCTCCTCCGTCCCCGCCCCACACTCTATCCCTACTGTGTTGCTGTGCACTGGCACGCCCCATACCTCCAGGAGCATATTTGGCCTGGTTCCCCTGGTCCTTTGTAGCCTGGAGGGACCCATAGCTGCCACCCCCACACTGTTGCCCCGTACTGAGGTGGGAACCAGGTCCCTTTCCATGCCAGTACAGAACCACTTCCCAGGGCAGCTTGGGAAGAGGGTGCGGGCTAGCAGCAGGCAATGGGAGGGAGGGGAAATTTCTCCAGCCTGTTTCCATCCACCAAGGCCCACAGAAGACCCCTTGAGGCCAGATCGTTTTGGGGGTGGGGGAAATGCTCTTGGCCTTGTGAAGGATCAGCAAACCCCCAGGGGATTCCACACACAGCAAGCCTGTTGCCTGGCTATAGCCCCAATACCAGCCAAGCCCAGGGGTAGACCAGGTATATGCTCCCGGCCCCAAGCTGGGGCTCTGCAGATATATCCGCTTTGAACCTCTGAGTTAGCTTAGATTCTGGGTACCCACATGAAGGCTACCCTGTGTGCCACCCCCTTCATGGTGCCATTTGCAAGCCCTGATGTACAGTCTCATATCACTTCCTGTCTTCATGCCTGGCCTTTAGTCACTGTGTCCCTGGGCCCTGGCTTCCTGCTTGGACTCAACACTCCTCACTGAGACCTTCAGTGTGACTGCCTCCCCCATCTGCATCCCCCAGGGTGTGGACCAGGATGTCCTCCAAGCCATCGATCGGGCCATCGAGGCTGTGCACAACACGGCCATGCGGGATGGCGGCAAGTACAGTCTGGAGCAGCGTGGCGTCCTCCAGTGAGTGTGCATGCGTGTGGAGGCCAGGGCAGGCTTCGTAGGGGGCTGGCTGGGGGTGGAGGAAGTAAGTGAGGGCCTCCCCCAGAGTCTTCCTGACTCTCTTGCAGGAAACTGATCCACCACCGGAAAGAGACCTTGTCTCGCAGAGGCCCCTCAGCTGCCAGCGCTGCAGGCATGACCCCGTCCACCAGTGACCACCATTTGGATGCTGCGGCTGCCCGGCAGCCCAATGGGATGTGTCGAGCCGGCTTCGAGCGGCAGCACAGCCTGCCCAGCTCTGAGCATCTCGGGCCAGACGGAGGCCTCTACCAGGTGAGGGCCTCCTGGGGAGGGAAGGGGTGCGGTTTCCAGCTCCAAACATCTATGGGGGTCAGCCCATGCCTAGAGCTGGGGTAGCCTGGCTGCCTGTCCCCACCCTCAACTCCAGCTTCTGTCTTTCCAGATCCCACCCCAGCCACGCCGGGCAGCACCCACCACACCGCCCCCACCTGTGAAGCGCCGGGACCGAGACGCCCTGGTGGTCTCAGGGAGTGGTGAGAAGGGGGGGCTGGGGGGCTCGGGCTGGCTTTGCTGTCTGCATCAGGTAGACAAGGCTTGAATGAAGACAGGGCCGCCACAGGCATGGTGGGGTGGACAGGATCCAGCAGTGTTGGGGGATGGGCTGGGGGGAACCCTGGGGTTACCCTAGCGCAGCCTCACTTTCTTCCCTCTAGGTGGTCGCAACGCCACACCGTGTGGGAGTAGTTGTGCATCTAGTGGCTCCTCAGCCAGCAGTGCCTCCCTGGACACACTTTGCACTGGCTCTAGCCCATCGGAGCTGGGCCCCAGCTGCTCCCCGACACCCCCACCCGTGCCCCGCCGAGCAGCCCATACCACCATCTCCCAGCCCCAGCCTACACCCTCCAAGGCACCGTCCCCCGAGCCCACTGCTGCCGAGGAGGTAGCCGCTGGCCCCAGATCAAGTCCTGAGTCCCTGGAGGTGCCAGGCCCCGCAGAGGAGAAGGCAACAATGGCAGAAGTGACAGTACCAGGGAGCATTGGGGCGGAGCTGATGGAGCTGGTGCGGAGAAACACAGGCCTGAGCCATGAGCTTTGCCGTGTGGCCATTGGCGTGGTGGTGGGCCACATCCAGGCTGCCGTGCCGGCTAGCTCGCCCATCATGGAACAGGTCCTCCTCTCACTGGTGGAGGGAAAGGTAAGGTGGGCAGCCTGGCCATGGGCAGCCTCCACCCCATGTCCATGGTCTAGCCCTGGGGGAGACATGTGTTGGCCCAGCTCTAGCTCTGGGCTTTCCTCGTGCTGGGCACTGTTGGCATTTGAGGAACAAAAGAAAAGGAGGGACAAAACGTGTTCAGCTGGATGCAGGTTGTAAAGTGGGAGAGAGGTTGGCTACTTGCAGGAAGTAGGAGAAAGCCAGCGCTGGTGGGTCACAGGGAGGAGGAGGAATGACCTGAGCAGGGCCAGGAGGAGGCCACATTGGGCAAGAGTGACAGTCGGGCCTTGGCAGCCTTGGCAGTGGAAGGCACAGGAGCTGTGGTGGAGGTCTGGGTGCCCATGTGGGTGAGAGTGCACAGAATGTAGGTATCAGAGGGTGGGGAAGGTTCTTTGTCCAGGTTGGGCTGTTGTCCAGGAGCAGGAAAGGGAACAGGGACTCAGAGAGCACAAAGGTCTCACAGAGAGTTCTCAGGCTGGGCGCAGCGGGCCGGCCAGTTTGCCTGTGCTGCTGGATGCGGCTGCAGTGCCTGGTGAGCAGGGCTGGTGGTCCAGGAGGGGAGGGAAATGTTGGGTTCCCAACCCTCACATCCACAACCCTGCCCTGGGGAAGTGATCAAGACACGCGTGTGGCCCTGTAGGACTTGAGCTCAAATAAGGCCAGGATGGAGGGTGGGGGTTTCCTGGAGGGAGTGTCGGGCCCCTTCTCCTCACCCTGCCTCCTTCCCTCCCCTAGGACCTGAGCTCAGCGCTGCCCTCAGGGCAAGTATGCCATGATCAGCAGAGGCTGGAGGTGATCTTCGCTGACCTGGCCCGGCACAAGGATGACGCGCAGCAGCGGAGCTGGGCACTCTATGAGGACGAGAGTGTCATCCGCTGCTACCTGGAGGAGCTGCTGCACATCCTGGTACTGTGGGGTGGGAGGAGCCACTGCACATCCTGATGTATGGGGCATCCCCCACCCCCTAAGCCTGCTCTGGCCCTCTTTGGCCATGCCTTGGAGGAGTCTTAACAACACACAGCTACTCCTCCTCCCCGGGACCGCCTGCTCAGCTCCCTTGCTCCACCCTTCCTCTGCAGACAGATGCTGACCCCGAAGTCTGTAAGAAGATGTGCAAGAAAAATGAGTTTGAGTCTGTCCTGGCCTTGGTAGCCTATTACCAAATGGTGTGTATGTGCAAGACCAAGGGGAGGGCGATGCGCAGGGGTGTCCCAGGCCAGGGTTGTTGGGGGTCGTGGAGGAGGGTGTTCCGGGCACTGAGCCTCTCAGGGTATCCCGGCCAGGAACACCGGGCGTCTCTGCGGCTGCTGCTGCTCAAGTGCTTCGGAGCCATGTGCAACCTGGACGCAGCCATCATCTCCACACTCGTGTCGTCCGTGCTGCCCGTGGAGCTGGCCCGGGACATGCAGACAGACACCCAGGGTGAGGTTGGAGGGTGGGCATGGTAGGGGATAGGTGGGGTGTCCTGCCAGGCTCTGGAGCTTTGACCACATCCCCTGTCCACTCTGTTTCCCCTAGACCACCAGAAACTCTGCTACTCGGCGCTCATCCTGGCCATGGTCTTCTCCATGGGGGAAGCCGTGCCTTATGCGCACTATGGTGAGCATGCAGATGGCTGACCTTGGCCTAGGTGGGGCAGGGTGGGGGGCAGGGCGGAGGGCAGGGGTAGGGTGTTGCTGAGACCCACAGGCAGAGGGCTGTTGCTGAGAGGGAGGACACTGCTGACATCTGTGTGCCCCTCCCAGAGCACCTAGGCACCCCCTTTGCCCAGTTTTTGCTGAGCATCATTGAGGATGGCCTGCCCATGGACACAACGGAGCAGCTGCCAGATCTCTGTGTGAATCTGCTGCTGGCGCTCAACCTGCACCTGCCAGGTGCGCACAGGGCCTGGCTGGGTGGGGGTAGCTGACCACACCAGGGTCAGCCCATGTCCTCATATCTACACCACATCCTTCCTCAGCCCCTGAGCAGAATGTCATCATGGCTGCCCTGAGCAAGCATGCCAACGTCAAGATCTTCTCCGAGAAGCTGCTGTTGCTGCTGAACCGAGGGGGTGAGGAGGGCCTGGGCACCGCACGGGGACTGTGCCTCACCGTCCTCTGAGGGTGACTCCAGGAGACCATCAAGGGCTGTCCTGACCACCCCCTCCCCCTGTGACTGCCACCTCCTCAGATGACCCCGTACGCATCTTCACCCATGAGCCGCAGCCGCCACACTCCATCCTCAAGTTCCTACAGGACGTGTTCAGCAGCTCCACCACGGCAGCCATCTTCTACCACACGGACATGATGGCGCTTATTGACATCACAGTGCGGCACATTGCCGACCTGTCGCCCGGGGACAAGGTGCCTGGAGATGGCTGTGCTAGGGAGGGGGACTTCATGGGAACTGGAGCCTGGCGAGTGAGAGAGGCCACCTGGAAACCAAGTGGGGAGGGGACCCAGCCAGTAAGGAAGGGGCAAGTGGCAGGAAAAGCAGCTGGCAGCAGAGGGCCCAGGGGGCAGCCAGGTCTGGAGGTGGATCCAGCGGAGGGGAGGAGGCACAGGCTAGGGGAGGCACTTCCTGGGGAAAAGGGTGTGTTTCCAGTGTGTTGGGGTTAGGAGCTACCCCTGGTGGTGCACAGCTCTTGTGAGTGGGAGCAGACAGGATGGGGTTCATTAGGGGAAATGGGCTGGGTCGGAAAGAGCGAAAGGCGGGAGCTGCAGTTGCGTGTGCTGAGCCGGAGAGAGTGCCAGCATTCGGGGAAGCTCCTTCCAGAGGGGACGAGTGAGACATGATTGCTGAGAGGAGGAAGAGGGCTAGAGTTGGCTGCATAGCCAGGGCTGGGAGACAGAAGCAGGGGCCGTGGTACTGCCAGGGAGCCTGAGCCCAGCAGCCGGCAGCGCTGGGCATCCCTAGAGCCCTCCTGTCTATTTGAGGTTGGGGAAAATGAATGCAGTTGTGGCTCACTTGTGGCTCTGTGCATGTCTGTGGCTTCGACCCTGGTGGTAGACATGTCACTTGGGTCCAGCTTCCAGGGTTGGCAGTTAGCATGGTGAAGCTGCTGAGTGGAGGTTTGGATGTCGATCCCTCTAATCAGAGAGACATGGAGGAGAGCAGAGGCATGGCTGGGGTCAGGTCAAGGTGGGGGAAGTGTCATGTCCAGAAGTATAGCTGGGGCTGACGCAGGAGCTAGGGGGCATAAAGATGGCCCAGGCTTGGGAGAGGTGCGGGCATGCACAGGCGGGGAGCAAGAAGCCTCCTGGGGTCATGCTGTGCTCTCGCAGTGAGTGCTATTTGTCAGGATTGAGAGTGGAGAAAGCTTTCCTCTGGGGAGGATGGAAGGCCACGAGCCATGAGGTGAATATTCCGATTGGAGGTCCCCAGGAAGTGACTCATTGATGGGACATTCTGTTTGCAAGAGAGCTCAGGGCAAGAAGGCAGAGGGTGCTCAGCTGAGTGCCTGAGGGCCCCCACTTGAAAAAGTGAGCAGGGCTTCCCCAAGCGTGCCACACATCTGGGACTCTCTGCAGCCAAAGGATGCACCAGCTGCTGCCCCGGCCACCAGGGTGGGCTGGTTCTAGGCCATGTCCGTTCCAGGCACCAGGGATGTAGCTTGGCTGTCCAGGTGGCAGGCCTGGTGCCTGCGTGGGATGCCTGAGCTGGCTGTTCTTCCCACAGCTGCGCATGGAGTACCTCTCCCTGATGCATGCCGTGGTCCGCTCCACGCCTTACCTGCAGCACCGCCACCGGCTACCAGATCTGCAGGCTACACTACGGCGCATCCTGACCGAGGAGGAGGCTTCACCCCAGTGCCAGATGGATCGCATGATCGTCCGGGAGATGTGCAAGGAGTTCCCGGTGCTGGGCGAGGGCCCCGGCTAGCAGCCCCCTTTTCTCCTGCCATCCCTGCAGCCCCGGTCAGGGTATAGAGCATCCAGGGGCTTGGCCCTCTGAACGTTTTGCACTGACAGAGGATGGGGTGCAGTGGGGACAGGGAGGCAGAGAAGGGACCTGAAACCCGAGAAGGGTGTCCCTACCTGAAGAAGAGTTCATGGTGCGAGGGGCCAAGTGTAAGATTGAGGACCGTGGTCTGGGAACAACACCGGGGCAAGCTGAAGCCCTTCTAATCCCTTGGTAGGCCGCCTCTTAAGCATGCCCCCCATCCCTGCGCACACTCAGTCCCGCTGCTGCCCCCTCCTTACCCTGCCTGGTGAGGGGAAGCACCTCCCACCAGCTCTGTTTTTTGCCTTAGCTTTGCAGTGAGTGATGCTCACGGGTCCCTACCTTCACAGGATGTGGGGAGAAGGGAGGGGGTGTCACTGTCCCCCCTCCACCCCACTCCCACCCCTAGAGGCCTTGGCCAAACTGCTGCTTTGAAAGTGGGATTTTGGAGACAGGCTTTGTGTCCTGTCATGCAGTGGGATGGTACTGCTGCCAAAGCCAACGACAGTATCTATTTTCGCTGTGAAAAACACAGACCGAAAGCCATGTGTATTTTCCAATGTGCTGCAGCTCACCTTAGGAAATAAATCACAGGCGTCTACAGGCTCCCCTGTGTGATGCTCTTGGGGGGTAGGAGCCTCCAGCCTCTACTCACCAGTCCCAGGAAGCAGTGGCCCTCTACTCTGAGCTTCCATGTTCCCAGGGGTGCAGTACCTCCCTGTGTCTGCATCTGCAACCTTTGCCCCCACCTTCTCAGCTCTGACCACCACCCCTTCTCTCCTGGTTAACTCCCACTAATTAAGGCAGGCCCTCCCTTCTACACCCAGCCCTGGATGCTTGGACCCTGTCTAACCTGATTTTCTTGACTTGTCGCTGAATCCCACAAGATCCCCTCCCGTTACAGCTGCTGAAGAGATCTGATGATGGTAGCGTCGACAGTGTCTTAACTGCTGAGTTAGGTTTCCACACTGTTGGAGGAATCTGGCCAGCTTGGGCAAAAAGTTGCCCTGCTTATTTCTGTGTGCTCCCAAGTTAACTGAGAGGCTCTCAGCCTGAGTGGGGAGGGGTCAGGCTAAGAGGAGTATTCAGCAGCTTACCCAGGGGTCCTTGTTCACCACCCAATTGTTCATGTCCACATGATCCATTCAGTGGCTTATGGTCATACTTTTTCCCTTTCCTGTTGGGGCTGTTATTCTCCCCAACAAGCACGTGCAGACAGGGTAGAGGGTGGGACCCCCACAAACCATCGTGGAACTCCACAGGAGTCACAGATGGATGGCAGAGCCCACAGGGAGAGCCTGCACCCTGCTGGTTCCTGGTGGAGCACCCCTTGGTGACTCCCAGGATCAGCTTACATTATGCCTCCTTTTCCTACACAAAATGCATGCTGTGCCTTCTAGGCACAACTCTGGAGAGCTGAAGACAGCGAGCTGCCATCCTCCTGAGGGAGGGTGACTCAGTCACAAGCCTGGTCCACCCTGGGAAACAGTGGGGATTCACTCCCTTCTGCTAGGATGCACGCAGGGCAGTGCTGTGCCAGCAGCAGGAAGACTGGCCCATGGCAGCACCCATGTCAGGGATGCAGAGATTACCAACACCACCCCAGGCTGGGTCTTTGCAACCAGCACCAGGTGCAGGGTCTCACCACAAGATTACAGCCACCAGGGACCCCTCTGGCTGCCTGGCAGGATAGTAGATGTGGGTTAGGGCTGGGCAGGAGAAAGGGCAATGAGAGAATAAACACCCTCAAGGAAAGGGGATTGGAAGAGCACCTCAAATTCAGAGTCAGCAATGACAGCTAGAAATAGATGCCTGAAGGTGTTGCTGTACCTCTGGGGTGTGCGCCAGCCTATGGCTGTGTGTGCAGAAGGTGGCCCCAGGCTGAGGAGCGGAGGCAAGGACATCTGCCTGCTGTAATGACTGAGGCGCTAAACCTGTAGGAGCAACCTGTCTTCTATGGATGATCAACACTATGGAAAATACAAAGTATGACCTCATGAATTGGGAACTGAAAATGCCAAGGTCACCACCAGCAGGGGAAGAGTTACAGTGCAAACAGATACAGCTGGGGGAGGGGTGGACGAGACCAGCCCCCTCCCTGCTGCCGTTACCAATTTGAGTCTAGGGTGTGCCACTTCCTATTTTTTTTTTTTAAGATTTACTTTTATTGGAAAGATTTACAGAGAGGAGAGAGAGAAAGATCTTTTATCCACAGGTTCATTCCACAAATGGCCACAATGGTCAGAGCTGAGCTAACCAGGAGCTGCTTCTGGATCTCATGCAAGTGCAGGGGCTAATGCTTTGGATCATCACTCTACTGCTTTCCCAGGCCACAGGCAGGGAGCAGCCAAGACATGAACCAGAACCCATATGGAATTCTACCGATTGCAAGGTGAGAATCTAGCCACCAGGCTATCTAACCAGGTCCACTGCTCCACTTTAATTTGGCTCCCTGCTATTATACCGAGGAACAGAGCCGAGAATGGCCCACTTCTTGCTGCCCATGTGGGAGACCTGGATGAAGTTTGTTCTTTCAAATCAATAGATAAATCATTAATTTTTTTTAAATGGCGCCTGGGGCTAGAAACCAGTTCCTCTGGTGTGACATGTGGCATCTGTGCCTACACCAGACCTCCACAGATGTCAGTTCTGCCTGTTTTTGGATTGTCTACTGGCAGTCGTACACTATAACCCCGTGTCTGGTTTTTCTCATTTACTCTTCAGAGACTGAACTCATTGTGTGTACTTGCACTCTTCACAGGGTGGCAAGGGACACATTTTCATCTGTTCATCCACTGATGATGACCCAGTGGCTTCCATTCTTGTCTGTTAATTGGAGTGCCACCCAGGGCACTGTTGCAGGAGTCTCGCTGCTGGTCCTATGCTTGTTTGGGTGGGTGTGTAGGGGGTGGGGGTTATTCCCAAATGTGGAATTTGCATTCACAGGGAGGTACTGTCAGAGTTTTCTAAAGCAACTGATACCATGCAGACTCCTTGGGTAGCATCTGAGAGCTCCTGCTCCCATCTTTTCGAAAATATGGCTTGTGGGTCATTCTTACATTCTGTTATGGTAGAACGTAGCGACATGTATTCTCCAGTTTATTCTTTTTCCAGTGACTAGTTTTGCTTGTTTTTGCTAGTAAACTTTTTGCTAATTTATCAGCCATTTGGGGTGTTCTCTTGTGAAGTTTCTGCTCACAGCTTTTCCCCATAAAGCCACTGATTTATCAACCATTTATTGATTGTGGTATTTTGAATACATGAGCTTTTTGGGTGTTTTTTTTTTTAATCCTACAATATCTTTTTTTAAAAAAGATTTATTTATTTATTGTTGGAAAATCAGATTTACAGAGAGAAGGAGACAGAGATCTTCCATCCGCTGGCTCACTCCCCAAGTGGCTGCAACTGCCAGGACTGAGCTGATCCAAAGCCAGGAGCCAGGAGCTTCTTCCAGGTTTCCCACATGACTGCAGGGTCCCAAGGCCTTGGGCTGTCCTTTAGTACTTTAGCAGGCCCCAAGCAGAGAGCTGGAAGGGAAGTGGAGCAACCAGGATATGAACCAGCACCCGTATGGTATCTCAGCATATGCAAAGCGAAGACTTCAGCTGCTAGGATACAGCACCAGGTCTCCTACAATAGTCTTTCTTTTTTTTTTTTTTTAAGTTTTTTTTTATTGGAAAGGTAGATTTACAGAGAAGGAAATAAAGATCTGTCTGCTAGCATCTCTATCCAGACCTGATGACGCAGTGGGTAGGGATTTCATCTGTTTTTATTCTGGATGTGTGGCCATTGGGGAAACAGCTCCAGGTGTTAAAAAGTCCATCCTGGGACAGGTAGTGTGGGTTAGACGGCTCCTGGGGATGCCCACAGGGTGGTCTTCCTGAGGGTAAAGACAGGGCCGGGGGCCTGAAGTGGAGGCTTCCTGTCTTTCCAAGGAGGGTACTGAGGGTGGGACAGCGAGGTGGGTCAGCTGTGGAGGGGCGGGTACCACGGAGACCCACTTGCAGTCCACTGGGTGGCGGCTGGGGGCAGCGGGGGAGACCGGCGCTCTGCAACAAGCATGCTGTCGGGCCAGCACCAACTCAAGTGAAGGCAGGACTCGGAGTAGCGTGGTCCTGGGCCCTACCTACCCAGGATGGTTCCCCGAACCTCGCGGGTTCTGGCCTCCTATTGGCCATCTTCTGCGGGAAGCCTTCCCAGACTGCTAGGAAGGCTCAGGCGTCTGTAATCACGTGTCTCCCCCAGGCCGTCAGCGTCTGGTCTGGCGTCCTTCACTCCTTAATTAAAGCAAAGGCCCAGCCAGCATCACCCCCTTCCTCTCCCAGCCCCTAGCGGACGGCCTCTAGCCAACCGCCTTCCCCTCGTGAGGTACCCTGATGGAGGCCGAAGAGCGGGGGAGGCCGCCCTCTGCACCGCCCCCCGGTAAGCCCCGCGGACACGCGGCGCCCACCGGCCACGTGGGGCGCTCGGGAGGCCGGTCCCCGCCAGAGTCCCGCCTCCCGGAAGCGGTCAAGTCGAGGGCCGGGAAAAGCGGCCCCTGATTGGTTGGTGGTGATGTCATAGGCGCCTTTCGGGGCGGCCCGGCGGCCCCGGCCCGGAGTTGTTCGCCTGTTGGAGGCGGAGTCCGCGGCGTCTGAGGAACCGCGCCCAGCGGCGCTCGGGGGTCTCGGCCCCGACCCCTCTCCCCTCGGCGCCGAAGCTCGCCTTCTTCCTTTCGGGCCCCGCAGCCTATTAGCTTCGACGGGCCCCTCTCCCGGGCGAACCTGGGCCCCGACCCCGTCCCCCACACAATGTGGCCTCTCTGAGGGGGTGCAAGGCGGGGCCTGCCATTGTGCCAATAGAAACAATGACTTTCCGATTGGAAAGTCGGGCTGGACCCCCACCCGCCCGTCCTCGCTGACGTGGTCGTGGCGCCGCGCCCACCTATTGACGAGTTGCGGCCACGCGTGTCCTTGGAGTCGCGTGGCGTGGGCAAAGCTGGATCGAATCCCGGGGGCGGGCGGCAGTTAAGCTGGCCCTTCCCTTGCAGGGACTGAGGGATCCGAGGAAGGCAGGCCCTACTCCCCCCGCACCCCACAACCTCCGGCTGAGGGGAAAAGCGCTGGGGACTCGCGGGACCTGAAGAGTGCCTCGGTCATCACTGTCCAGGGGTCGTCCCAGACAGCTGTCCACAAAGTGCCCCAGGAGTCAGCAAGTGCTGATTCAGCAGCCAAAGCAACTGTGCGAGCTGCTGCCTCCCTCAGCCCTGACCGGCCGTCGCCCCTGTGCCCCAGCCCTGCACGTGGGACCCCCCCCCTCCGACCCAGAGCTGCGAGGGCGCTCCTTCGTACGTCAGGGTTATTAACGCCCCAAACCAGAATCCAGAACAGGGCCAGGGCCAGTGCTTGGGAAGGGGAATAAAATATCTGCAAGTAGAGGCTGGGAGACGAGACTAGGACAACACCCTAGAGAGTGAGGAATCCAACAGCTTAAAGCCCCGCGCTCAGCCGCGAACCACCGCCGCTCTGATATCCTCAACAAAGATGGCGACCACGGCTTCGGGCGTCAGAGCTGACATGCGCGGTGGGTCATACCACTGGGTCCGGGGCGTCGGGGCGAGGGTGGAGCGAACCATCGGGGCGGCCAGGAGCCATGTTGGAGCGGCGGGAGGCGGCAGCAGCGCCGGGGATGCTGTGGTGGGGGCGGCAAGGGCCGGGACCGCTCACCAAAGGGGTCTTGGCCGCGGAATAGATGGTGCTCAGGGGGCGGCGGCGCGGAGCGACAGGCCGAGGGGCGGGAGGCCGGGGTGGGGGCAGGGGCCCTGGAGGGGGTCCGAGCGGTGGGGCGGGCCTAAGGACCGGACTAGGGTGGGGGGCTGTGGAGGCTGTGCAGGGAGGTGGAGGGTGATGGCGAGGCGGCCGCCGTGGCAGGGTCTCGGAAGACCATCGACGACGGTACTCCTGCTCCTTCTCTCTTTGTTCCCCCTCAGCCGGGAGGAGCTGAGGGGCGGCGGGGACCAGGGCTGGGACCAGGGGGTAAATCTGCCCGGGGCGCAGATCGGCGGTGGAGCCTCAGCTCTTTGTCCCGAGCCGCCCGGGGTCCGGGAGGATGAGGGGCCTGGCCTGGGAGTCGGGGAACCTGTTTCCATGCCACTCCGAGGGGAAAGGCAAAGCGCCCAGAGCGGTCCAGGGTCCCCTGGACAGCCGAACGCAGAACTGGCCACCGAGCACGGGGTCCAAGCATTAAGCAGCCGTGCACGAGAGACAGGACAGGAGCCAGGGTCTCTGTTATGCTGGCGCCCAGAAGTCTCCTCCTGCCGGAGGACAGGACCCTTGCGAAGAGGTGGTGTGTCGCCAGAGGCTCTGTCCTTAGGGGTCCCAGGCCCAGGGAACAGCTTGCCCCTTCCTTCGGACTTTCTGGTTCAACCAGGTGGGCCCAAGCCAGCGCTCTCCCAACAGAACTCTGCAAGAAGCCCCCGGAAAAGAGTAGGAACCACGCGCTGCTGCGGGGAACTGTGGGTGCCAGTGCGCAGGGGTCAGAGGGAGAGAGCTGCGCCATCCCCAGCCGAGAGGACAGATCCTCGGCCGGAATTTCTGCCCTGGGCCGCGGGGTCTGGTCCAGCGCTAGATTCAGCACCACGCACGGCTAGGACAGCTCCTTTGGAGGGTTCAGCACCCCCAAAACCTCGGACAGCTCCCGAGGCCCTGCCCCGGCGCATGCGCTCCCGCAGGCTCCTCCGCCGCCACTTCCTCCCGCAGCGCCCCGGGCCGCGCCCCCCGGGAGTCCCGGTGGAGCCGGTGGAGCCCGAGGCCTGGAAGACACCCCTAGCGAGCCGGGCACGTCCCCGTCGCGCCGCCAACCGCCACCCGCAGTTTCCCCAGTACAACTACCAGGCGCAGGTGCCCGAGAACGAGGCAGCAGGCACAGCGGTGCTAAGAGTGGTGGCGCAGGACCCAGACGCGGGCGAGGCCGGGCGCCTGGTGTATTCATTGGCGGCGCTCATGAACAGCCGCTCGCTGGAGCTGTTCAGCATCGACCCACAGAGTGGCCTGATCCGCACAGCCGCCGCTCTGGACCGCGAGAGCATGGAGCGCCACTACCTGCGGGTGACGGCCCAGGACCACGGTTCGCCGCGCCTCTCGGCCACCACCATGGTGGCTGTGACCGTAACCGACCGCAACGACCATACTCCAGTGTTTGAGCAAACGCAGTACCGGGAGACGCTGCGCGAGAATGTGGAGGAGGGCTACCCCATCCTGCAGCTGCGTGCCACAGACGGTGACGCACCACCCAATGCCAACCTGCGCTACCGCTTCGTGGGGCCACCCGCCACACGCACCACCGCTGCCTTCGAGATTGATCCACGCTCCGGCCTCATCAGTACCAGTGGCAGGGTGGACCGTGAGCACATGGAAAGCTACGAACTAGTGGTGGAGGCCAGCGACCAGGGCCAGGAGCCTGGGCCTCGCTCAGCCACCGTGCGCGTGCACATCACGGTGCTGGACGAGAACGACAATGCGCCCCAGTTTAGCGAGAAGCGCTACGTGGCCCAGGTGCGTGAGGACGTGCGCCCCCACACGGTGGTGCTCCGCGTCACGGCCACAGACCGGGACAAGGACGCCAACGGACTGGTTCATTACAACATCATCAGTGGCAACAGCCGAGGCCACTTTGCTATCGACAGCCTCACAGGTGAGATTCAGGTGGTGGCGCCTCTGGACTTTGAGGCAGAGAGAGAGCACGCCTTGCGCATCCGGGCACAGGACGCAGGTAGGCCACCACTGTCCAACAACACGGGTTTGGTCAACATCCAAGTGGTGGATATCAATGACCACGCACCCATCTTCGTCAGCACGCCTTTCCAGGTGTCTGTTCTGGAGAATGCGCCCCTGGGCCACTCGGTCATCCACATTCAGGCTGTGGACGCGGATCATGGGGAAAATGCTAGGCTGGAGTACTCGCTCACTGGCTTGGCAGCTGATACACCTTTTGTGATAAACAGTGCCACAGGCTGGGTGTCTGTGAGTGGGCCCCTGGACCGCGAGTCTGTGGAACACTACTTCTTTGGGGTAGAGGCCCGTGACCATGGCTCTCCTCCACTCTCTGCATCGGCCAGCGTCACGGTGACTGTGCTGGATGTTAACGACAACCGGCCTGAGTTCACTGTGAAGGAACACCACCTCCGACTGAATGAGGACGCAGCTGTGGGTACCAGCGTGCTCAGCGTGACTGCTGTGGACCGGGATGCCAACAGCGCCATCAGCTACCAGATCACAGGTGGTAACACCCGGAACCGTTTTGCCATCAGCACCCAGGGGGGTGTGGGTCTAGTGACCCTGGCTCTCCCGTTGGACTACAAGCAGGAACGCTACTTCAAGCTGGTACTGACGGCATCCGACCGAGCCCTCCATGACCACTGCTCTGTGCACATCAACATCACAGATGCCAACACTCACCGGCCTGTCTTTCAAAGCGCCCACTACTCTGTGAGCATGAATGAGGATCGGCCAGTGGGTAGCACGGTCGTGGTTATTAGCGCCTCTGACGATGACGTGGGTGAGAATGCTCGGATCACTTACTTCTTGGAGGATAACCTACCCCAGTTCCGCATCAATGCCACCTCGGGGGCCATCACACTGCAAGCTCCACTGGACTATGAGGACCAAGTGACCTACACCCTGGCTATCACAGCTCGAGACAACGGCATCCCTCAGAAGGCAGACACCACTTATGTTGAGGTGATGGTCAACGATGTGAATGACAACGCTCCACAGTTTGTGACCTCCCACTACACCGGCTTGGTCTCTGAGGATGCTCCGCCCTTTACCAGCGTCTTGCAGATCTCAGCCACAGACCGGGACGCTCACGCCAACGGTCGAGTCCAATACACGTTCCAGAATGGGGAAGATGGGGATGGAGATTTTACCATAGAGCCCACCTCTGGCATCATCCGAACGGTGAGGCGGCTGGACCGGGAGGCAGTGCCAGTGTATGAGCTGACAGCATATGCGGTGGACCGCGGTGTGCCCCCGCTGAGGACACCAGTCAGCATCCATGTGACCGTGCAGGATGTGAATGACAATGCACCTGTCTTCCCAGCAGAGGAGTTTGAGGTGCAGGTGAAAGAGAACAGCATTGTGGGCTCAGTGGTGGCCCAGATCACTGCGGTGGACCCTGACGAGGGTCCCAACGCCCACATCATGTACCAAATAGTGGAGGGGAACATTCCTGAGCTCTTCCAAATGGATATCTTCTCTGGGGAACTGACAGCACTCATTGACCTGGACTACGAAGCTCGCCAGGAATACGTGATTGTGGTGCAGGCCACATCGGCTCCCCTGGTCAGCCGGGCCACTGTGCATGTCCGCCTGGTTGACCAGAATGACAACAGCCCTGTGCTCAACAACTTCCAGATCCTCTTCAACAACTATGTGTCCAACCGCTCTGACACGTTCCCCTCCGGTGTCATTGGCCGTATCCCAGCCTATGACCCCGATGTCTCGGATCACCTCTTCTACTCTTTTGAGCGTGGCAACGAGCTGCAGTTGCTGGTGGTGAACCAGACCAGTGGGGAGCTGCGACTCAGTCGGAAGCTGGACAACAACCGTCCGCTGGTGGCCTCCATGTTGGTGACAGTCACAGGTGAGGGGCAAGGCTGGCGGAACAGGGAGGGGAGCCAGTGACTCCAACCTGTCAGGGTTTCTGGGCTTCCACAGGGCACCTAGAGTCAAAGAGGAATTTTTCAAGCTTCCAAGAAGCCCTTACATGTTCTTGTGACTGCTCAGAATCCCTCATGTGGGGACTCTGCTTAAGTTCTTGGGCATCACAATTCCAAAGCATCTAAGCAGACCTAATGATGTACCCCTAGGACTAGTTCCACTCCCAAAGAAAGAAAGAAAGAAAGAAAACATATGCTAGGGTTATGCCCTGGAGATTTTAGACAAAGCCATTCCTGGTCAGTCTGAACCATGTCCAAATTGAGGTGAAGAGTAACTTTAGATCCAATCTGCAGGGAGAGGAACAGTTGTGTGGTCAGAAACAGCAGCTTCTGGCAGCAGTTCTGGTGGATACACTGGTCTGGTTTCCATGCAAAGGGTTATCCAAGACCCTGCTCTTTAGGAAAATATCCAGAGGGTCCCCCTTCCCCACCCCCTGGACTACCCCAGGCTTTCCCAGTCCCTCCCCTCCTAGGAGGATGCTGGCAGGCACAGAGGGTGGAGGGCAGGTTGACAGGTGCCCATCTGCTCTGGAACAGGGACTCCTGGTCTTCTAGAGAAGGTCACTCCATGTGGGCACAAGGCCAGCACCCCAGGGTAGTCACTGAAGCCCCAGGAGCCAGCGCTAGGGTATTCAGCAGCTGGCTAGCTTAGGAGTATGTGTGTCCAAGGCCTTTTGCAGCCCGCTGACCAGGGTGTGCGGGGAGGGCGTTGATCGCTTGCTCAAGTGCTTCTTAGTTCCACAGGAGAGCAGCACTCCGTCAGAAGTGCTGGGGGCCTCGGCCCCAGGCTGACCACTACCCCTGCCCCTGCCTGCAGACGGCCTGCACAGTGTGACAGCCCAGTGTGTGCTGCGCGTGGTCATCATCACCGAGGAGCTGCTGGCCAACAGTCTGACCGTGCGCCTGGAGAACATGTGGCAGGAGCGCTTCCTGTCGCCACTCCTGGGCCACTTCCTCGAAGGTGTGGCCGCTGTGCTCGCCACGCCCGCGGAGGACGTCTTCATCTTCAATATCCAGAACGACACGGACGTGGGGGGCACGGTGCTCAACGTGAGCTTCTCGGCGCTGGCGCCGCGCGGGGCGGGCGCGGGCGCGGCGGGGCCGTGGTTCAGCTCCGAGGAGCTGCAGGAGCAGCTGTACGTGCGCCGTGCGGCGCTGGCGGCGCGCTCGCTGCTGGACGTGCTGCCCTTCGACGACAACGTGTGCCTGCGGGAGCCGTGCGAGAACTACATGAAGTGCGTGTCGGTGCTCCGCTTCGACTCGTCGGCGCCCTTCCTGGCCTCGGCCTCCACGCTCTTCCGGCCCATCCAGCCCATCGCCGGCCTGCGCTGCCGCTGCCCGCCCGGCTTCACGGGCGACTTCTGCGAGACCGAGCTGGACCTCTGCTACTCCAACCCGTGTCGCAACGGCGGTGCCTGCGCGCGGCGTGAAGGCGGCTACACCTGCGTCTGCCGCCCGCGCTTCACCGGTGAGCCGGGCCTGGGGCTGGGTGAGCCAGTGCGGGTCAGGCCACGGTCAGATCGTCCACCGCAGAGCCGACCCTGGGGGCGCTTGAAGCCGCTGAGGGAGAGAGGGGCTTGGGCTGGGAGAGCCAGGCTGGGGCGGGGGGCGTGGTCGGGCACCGCGGGGGCGGGGCTTCCTGGGGGCGTGGTCGCGAAGCACGCTGCACGCGGGGCGGGGCCATGACTGCCTGCAAACCGCGACTTGTGCCTCCAGGAGAAGACTGCGAGCTGGACACGGAGGCTGGACGCTGCGTGCCAGGCGTCTGCCGCAACGGGGGCACCTGCACCGACGCGCCCCACGGCGGCTTCCGTTGCCAGTGCCCCGTGGGCGGCGCCTTCGAAGGCCCGCGATGCGAGGTGGCGGCCCGCTCCTTCCCTCCGAGCTCCTTCGTCATGTTCCGCGGCCTGCGGCAACGCTTCCACCTCACGCTGTCCCTCTCGTAGGTGCCCGCCCCCGCCTCCTGCGGTGCTGAGTGACTGGGTTACTGGGTCACGGGTGTGAGAGGTGGACTGGCTCCTGAAGCCCCCTTGCCCACCCCGCACAGGTTCGCGACTGTGCAGCCGAGTGGGCTCCTCTTCTACAACGGCCGCCTGAACGAGAAGCACGACTTCTTGGCCCTGGAGCTGGTGGCTGGCCAAGTGCGGCTCACGTACTCCACGGGTGAGTGGCCCGAGGCCCCTCAGGCTCTCTTCCCTGTGCACTTGCACACATGCCTCAGTGTCAGACAGACAGCAGGGTGGACCTGGCTGCTGGCTGTGCCCTGTGGGGAGGCCAGTTTGAATAGGGAGTGTGTGTGTCCCCTCTGTGCTCGCAGGCCACTAGCCCAGCCAGTGATGGTGACCTTATCTGAAACATCTGGGGGTGGGGCCGGGTGGAGCAGCTGCAAACACTCCTCCTGCTGCACCTCCCCGCAGGTGAGTCCAACACGGTGGTCAGCCCCACAGTTCCAGGGGGCCTGAGTGACGGGCAGTGGCACACCGTGCATCTGAGATACTACAACAAGGTGGGCGCCGTGCGGCCTGGAGTGTGGAGGGAGTTGGGGGCACTGGGGCTCCGCCCAAGAGCTGAGTTGACTGGGTGTACGTGGGTCTTCAGCCCCGGACGGACGCCCTTGGGAGCGCTCAGGGTCCATCTAAGGACAAAGTGGCAGTGCTGAGCGTGGACGACTGTGATGTGGCAGTGGCGCTGCAGTTCGGGGCTGAGATTGGGAACTACTCGTGCGCGGCTGCTGGTGTGCAAACAAGCTCCAAGAAGTGAGCCCCTTCCCTGTGCCCTCTGCCCATACACCTGTGCTTGGCAGCCTGGGGCTTTGTCCAGTTTTTATTTTCCAGTCCCCAGCCCCTACCTTTAGGCAGTCCAGGCTCCCTACTCTCCAGTGCCCCACACCCCCTTCAGGGTTTGTACCAGCTACTCAGTTCTTCACTTCTGCATCCCCAGCTGCTCACTCACACACCTCAGCTGCTTAGTTGAAGCCCTCAGGCCAGCTCTTCCACTGTTCCCAGCCTACCTGCCCTTGTCTGCTCTGCTACACCCCTAGAACTCTGAGTCTGACCCTTCCTTCTCCCCTGGCCTGGTCCTGGCCTCCCTCCCTCAGTCCCCCTCAGATTCAGTCCCACCAGTGACCCAGATCCCTCCCCGCAGGTCCCTGGACCTGACAGGCCCGCTGCTCCTGGGAGGGGTCCCCAACCTCCCAGAGAACTTCCCCGTGTCCCACAAGGACTTCATCGGCTGCATGCGGGATCTGCACATAGATGGCCGCCAGGTGGACATGGCAGCCTTCGTAGCTAACAACGGCACCACAGCAGGTAAGCTCAGAACTCCTACTGCGCTGCCCATGGCCTGTCTCCATCATAGAGGTGGGGTTTGGAGCAGCTCCATCTCATCCCAACTCAGTGACAGCCTGGCCTCAAGCCTGTGAGAACATGGGGCTGGTGTCATGGCTTCTTCTGTCCCCTTTTGGCCTAAATCAGGCCCAGCACTCATGCCCTCCCCCACTCCACCATATTATATTCTGTATGTGCCTGCCTTTCCCAGGCTGTCAGGCCAAGCTGCACTTCTGCGACTCAAACCCCTGCAAGAACAGTGGCTTCTGCTCAGAGCGCTGGGGTGGCTTCAGCTGTGACTGCCCTGTGGGTTTTGGTGGCAAAGACTGTCGGCTCAGTGAGTGGTGACATGGGGCAGGGAAGAGCCCATGGGGTAAGCTCTGTCCCCAAAATGGGGCATGTGAACCTGCTCCTCTTATCCCCACAGCCATGACCCATCCCCACCATTTCCGGGGCAACGGCACACTAAGCTGGGACTTTGGAGGTGATGTGGTCGTGTCTGTACCCTGGTACCTGGGACTGGCGTTTCGGACACGCGCCACACAGGGGGTTCTGTTGTCAGTGCAGGCTGGGCAGCACAGTACACTTCTCTGCCAGGTGGGTCTGCCATTCTGCTCCCAGTCTGTGACATCCCCAGCCATATTCCTGTGGGTTTAATCCCAGGTCCACAGCACAGAGGGCTTGCCCACACTTGACCGTGCTGTATACCCGACCCTCCACTCTCTTCTCCACCACAATGTCCTCTGCATGTGGGGGCCACTAGCATAGCTCTCGCTGGTGCTAGCTGCATCCGTCCATGGTCCCCCAGTCTTGACCCCGTGTTCGCAGCCCAGGGTCCTCTGTTTTAGTCGCTGAGTCCTCTGACCACTGTCCAATCCCAGCCAACCTGTGGCTCTAACCCCAGGGCTGGGCATTTCTACCCACAGCTAGATCGGGGGCTGCTGTCCGTGACTGTGAGCCAAGGCTCGGGCCATGCTGCCCATCTCCTCCTGGACCAGGTGACCGTCAGTGATGGCCGGTGGCATGATCTGCGGTTGGAGTTGCAGGAGGAACCAGGTGGCCGGCGGGGCCATCATGTCCTCATGATCTCACTGGACTTTAGCCTCTTCCAGGTGTGACCCCTGATTTGGGGATGATCTGCTCCCCTCCTTCCAACCAGACCCACCTTCTCTGACCTCTACCTCCCATGCTTCACCCAGACCCCAGCCAGTTCCCTGGGTCTCAGAGAGCTCCATGGCAGTCCACTCCTCTGGCATGGAGGGACAAAGCCCAGTCATGCAGGGCTGGCAGGCCCAGACCAACCCCGGGATATGGCATGGGTGCCTCAGTCTCCCTCGTACTCAGTGCTGCTGGTTTCCCTTCTCCAGGATACCCTGGCAGTGGGGAGTGAGCTGCAAGGCCTGAAGGTAAAGCTACTCCACGTGGGAGGCCTGCCCCCCAGCAGTAAGGAGGCGCTTCCTCAGGGTCTGGTCGGCTGTATCCAGGTGGGGGTCGGCATGGGGATGTGGCATAAGGGCATCAGGGTTAGCAGTCAGAGTTCAGGAGATCCTGGGGGCTCCCAAAAGCAGCGTCTGAGTGGTGTTGGGCATGAATTACCAGGGGTGGGGGAGGGGAAATGGATGACCCAGAGCTGTTGGAGACAGAGCAGACCTTCCTGTGGGCTTAGAGGCCAGAGTCTAGCTTAGATCCCCTCCCCCCTGGGGGGGGGGAGGGCATTAGAGAGGCAGAGCAATTCATGATCTCCTGAGGGGATGACATTGGGATTGTCTTGGGGACCTGGGGGGCTTCATGTCAGGGTGGCCTGGCCCCTGGCCCTGGCATGGGCCTTAGCTCCTGGTTGGTTGTTTCTATAGGGGGTCTGGCTTGGCACCACTCCATCTGGATCACCACCCCTGCTAGCCCCAAGCCACCGGGTGAATGTGGAGCCTGGCTGCACGGTGACCAACTCCTGTGCATCTGGACCCTGTCCAGCCCATGCTGACTGCCAAGATCTCTGGCAGACTTTCTCCTGCACCTGCCAGCCAGGTGGGCTCTGAAGTAGAGGAAGGCTGATCCGGGCAGGAAGCAGGGGGACATTGAGGAGATGGAGAATGGGAAGGAGGGTGCCCACTTCCTCTCTGCTCTGTGACCTGTGTCCCGGACTTTCTGGACCCACCTGCAGGTTACTACGGCCCAGGTTGTGTGGATGCCTGTCTCTTGAACCCCTGTCAGAACCAAGGATCCTGCCGCCACCTCCCAGGAGCCCCCCACGGCTACACTTGTGACTGTCCCAGTGGTTATTTTGGGCACCGCTGTGAGCACAGGTGAGAGGCTTAGGGCCCCAAGTTGAGGGGGAACCTGGCTGGAACAGGGCAGGGTCACTAAGATAGCCTAGAGGCTCTCTCTCCTCTGACTGGTTGCTTCCCCCTTCCTCCAGGATGGACCAGCAGTGCCCACGAGGCTGGTGGGGGAGTCCAACCTGTGGCCCCTGCAATTGTGACGTCCACAAAGGCTTTGACCCCAACTGCAATAAGACAAATGGGCAGTGTCACTGCAAGGTGTGCCTCGCCTGTGCCCCCAACAGTGGACTTTCCAAGCCGACTTGGGACATACTCTAATGTTTGTCCAGCTGGCTTCCTTCCACTACCTCTTACCTGTGTGTCCTGTCAGCTCCTTGTCTGCCAGCTCTCATAGTTGACCCCAGTGTCTCCCTCAGCCCATCTTCCTCTAGCGTGGGAGCACTGTTGTCTATACCCCTTGCCCTTGATTCTATTCGTCCCCCAAGCCTTGATCCAAGACCCTTACTTTAAGCCCTGACCTCTGACTTCAGGTTCATGCCCCATCCTTAAACAGGACTTCTACTATCGGCCACGGGGCAGCGACTCATGCCTCCCATGTGACTGCTACCCAGTGGGCTCCACCTCGCGTTCCTGTGCACCCCACAGCGGGCAGTGTCCCTGTCGTCCAGGAGCCCTTGGCCGCCAGTGCAACAGCTGTGACAGCCCCTTCGCAGAGGTGACAGCCAGTGGCTGCCGGGGTAAGCAGAGGGCTGGTCTCCATGTGCTCCTTGGCTAGGGACTCTGGGGAACCTCTCCTGAGGGAGCCCACTTCCCTGCAGGGAACCCACATTTTCTCCAAGTCACAGAATCTTAGTGGAGAAGCCAGCCAGGTCTTGGCAGGCAGTAGACAGGGGGGTGGGTTGTGAGGGGACAACCTGGCCACCTGACTCAACATCTCCTTCCTCCCTAGTGCTCTACGATGCCTGCCCCAAGTCCCTGAGGTCTGGCGTGTGGTGGCCGCAGACCAAGTTTGGCGCCTTGGCCACAGTGCCCTGTCCCCGGGGGGCCCTGGGTGAGTGTCTGGGGAGCAGGGACGTGGTGAGGGTGGGGGTGGGCTTATTCTCTGTGACTGCTGGAGCCAGCTCTCTAGTGGTCTTACAGCTCTTGGGTCTTATACCTGCTCAGTGATGGGAGGGAGGCAGGCATCTGCGTGGGCCCCTTACTACCTCCTTAAGCCTCTGGGTCCCTCCTCACACCCTCACAGAGCCTTCCTCTGTTTTCCTTGGCTTCTGGGCAGGATTGCGGGGTGCAGGTAAGGGGTACGTGTTTGCTCAGCTGCGCTGCCCCCTCCCACTGCCAGAGCTTTTACAGATCCCGCCTGCTGCCTGAGGTCCCCAAGGCCCCTCTCTGCTGCTTTGTCTCTGAGAACTACTTCCAACTGCTTGAAGCACCCCCGCTTTCCCGCAGAGACCCCTTCCTATTGGCTGAGGACCTTGGGGACCCTTCTCTGGTCTCCTCAGAGACCCCTCCCATGACCTGAGGACTCTGTAGACCTCTCCTGAGATTTTTACAGACCCCCCCCCCCAAGTCCTGGAGGTACCTACAGGCCTCATGGTGTGGCCTGAGGTGGAAGGTCCCTCCCCTGTGCCTAAGGGACCCCCCTCCTTGCTACATGAGGCCCGTGTGGTGGCTGGACAGGTTGTGTGTGCATGCCCACACGTGTGTCTCCCCATGCCTGTGCACGTGTTTCTGCGTCCATCTTGGGGCAGAGGGTTGTGTTTGTAAGTGAGGATCTGTTCAAAACCCTCCCTGAAGGGGCAGGTCAGTTTCCAAGCCCTTTCCAAGCTCTGCAGAAAAAGTAAGGCCAAGTCCCCCACAGGGCAGTTAGAACCATGGGAGACCCATCTGCTACCTCACTGCTCCCAGAATCCTCTTGAGAGACTTTGTCTGTGCTGGCATGTCTGCGTGTACACAAGAGTGTTGTGTGTGTACCTGTGCTTATCCTGGTTGTTATATATTTGCAGTCATGAACATTACGTGTGTGTATGTGGGGCACGCCTGTGAGCCTGTCCTGGGCCACAGGCCTGAGTGAGCGGAGTGTGTGTATGTGAGGGTGGGTGGGTGGGTGCATGCACCCCTGGGGCGTGGCTGCTGCATCCTGCCATCCGGCTCTAGGGCCTATCTGCTGGGCTCTGCCCCAAGGATTCTCCCAGGGTTAGGGTGCTATGGGCACCCTCTCAGTAGAACTTCCCAGTCTTCGGGCCTGACCAGGGCTTGCTTGCCCCCAGGTGCTGCTATACGGCTCTGTGACGAGGACCGGGGCTGGCTGGAGCCTGACCTCTTCAACTGCACCTCTCCTGCCTTCCGAGAGCTCAGCCTGCTGGTAAGCCTCACTCTGCCCTGCCCCGCGCTAAGCCCTCCAGAGCTCACGGAGGGCCCCGTCACCTCCGCCCAAGTTTGCCCCGCGGCCTCAGGGACCACAAGCATAACCATTCCCCCATCCTGGTGCTGGCAGCTGGATGGCCTGGAGCTGAATAAGACAGTCCTAGATACCATGGAGGCCAAGAGGCTGGCTCAGCGACTCCGTGAGGTCACTGGCCATGCTGATCACTACTTTAGCCAAGATGTCCAAGTCACTGCCCGTCTGCTGGCCTATCTGCTGGCCTTCGAGAGCCATCAGCAAGGTTTTGGACTGACAGCCACACAGGATGCCCACTTCAATGAGGTCAGATTGCGTTTTGTGTTTCCAGCCCCCTGGCCCAAGACCTCTGCTCCCTGACTCTCTTTCCTTTGTCATCTCCAGCCCCTGCCCCCCTGCCTGTTGGGATCCTTCTGAGCACCTGGCCGGACCCCTCCTCCCCGCCCCGGCCCCTGCTGCCTCTGCCACCTGGCTGAGCCAACTCTGTTTCCATTCTCCCAGAATCTGCTATGGGCTGGCTCTGCTCTGCTTGCTCCAGAGACTGAGGACCTATGGGCGGCATTGGGACAGCGGGCTCCTGGGGGTTCCCCAGGCAGCGCGGGGCTGGTGCAGCACCTGGAGGAGTATGCGGCCACGCTCGCCAGGAACATGGAACTCACATACTTGAATCCCGTGGGGCTGGTGACACCCAATATCAGTGCGTGGTGGGGCAGGGCAGGGACCTGGAGGCCTGAGGGGGAAGGGCTGCTGATGGCACCAGTGGTGGCAGGAGGCTGTGCTACTACCTCCAGCTTGGCAGGGGCATGCTCTGCACTGCTAGCAAGGATGATATGGGCTGTAGGACTTGGGTATAGGCTGGGAGCCTGAGGGAGGAGACCCTCAGCACGTCCCGAACAGGGGTCCATGGTAGGGCTCACCCTTCTTTCTCATGGGCAGTGCTCAGCATCGACCGCATGGAGCACCCCAGTTCAAACCGAGGGGCCCGTCGCTACCCCCGCTACCACAGTAATCTTTTCCGGGGCCAGGACGCCTGGGATCCTCACACCCATGTGCTGCTGCCTTCCCAGGCCCCACGGCCGGCCCCATCGGAAGGTGAGCCCTCAGTGTTCCCTCAGCCAGGTCCTGTTCCCTTGATATCCCAGCCAGACCCTGTACCCTCTCCTGCCTGTGTTCCACCTGCCAGGACCCCCCTTCCTGTCCTACAACTCACTGTGCCCTCTCCTGACCATGCCCTGTCTCCTCTCAGACCTTGAACATTGCTTTCCCCGGCTTCTGCTCCCCTCACCCCAGTTCTGGAGCTGTGGGGAAGAGTTCCTGTGTTTGGGGCTCACTGACGGTAGCTCCCCATCCCCTACCCTGCCTGCTGGCAGTTCTGCCCACAGGCAGCAGCGCAGAAAACACCACCACCCCGAGTGCTGGCTCCCCACCAGCGTCCCTGGAGCCCGAGCCTGAGCCTGGGATGTCCATCGTCATCCTCCTCGTGTACCGCACCTTGGGGGGACTGCTCCCTGCTCAGTTCCAGGCCGAGCGTCGGGGTGCCAGGTACCAAGGGTAGAGTTGCTTCCAGCCCTTCATATAAGCCTCCTATGAGCTTCTGTCCAGCCTAGTATCCCCTTTTTGGTGGGCAGATGAGAAGGTTCAGAGAGACTTTTTTTTAAAGATTTATTTATTTTTATATAAACTTTAATAAAAGTATTTCTGGGGCCTGGCACAGTAGTCTAGTGGCTTAAGTCCTTGCTTTCGCACTTGCCAGAATCCCATATGGGTGCTGATTCTGATCCTGGTAGCCCTACTTTCCATCCACCTCCCTACTTGTGGCCTGGGAAAGCAATTCAAGATGGCCCAAAGCCTTGGGACCTTGCACCTGCATCAGAGACCCAAAAGAAGAGGCTCCAGGCTCCTGGCTTTGGATCGGCTCAGCTCCAGTCATTGCAGCCACTTGGGGAGTGAATCAACAGAGGAAGATCTTCCTTTCTGTCTCTCCTCCTCTCTGTATATCTGACTTTCCAAAAGAAAGAAGTCATTGTTATAGACATGGAGAGGCAGAGAGATCTTTAATCCACTGGTTCACTTCCCAAATGGCCAAATGGCTGCAATGGCAGGGCCTGGGCCAGGTTGGAGGCAGGTTGGAGTAGGAGCCTGGAATTGCCTCTGGGTCTCCCATGTGAGTGGCAGGGGCCCAGTTCTTGGGCCATTTTCTGCTGCTTTTCTAGACACATTTGCAGGGAGCTAGATGAGAAGTGAAACAACTGGGACTCTGACCAACAGTGCTTATCTGAGGTGCTGGTGTCACTGGTCACAGCTTAGCTTGCTGCACTGCAGTGCTGGCCCCAGATGGACTTGGGTTCACAGCTCAGGAAACTGTCCGTGCTGTGTGCAGTATACAGCATGCTCTCTGAGGCCATGTGTAGTAGCTGAGTTTAGGATGACAGCAACAGGTTGGGGTAGGTGCATCCAAGGCCAGCACATGAGCCAGGTGCAGACAGAGCACCTCCAGCAACAGAGGAAGGCCTGTAGACTACCTGCTGAGGAGCTGGTGAGCGGGGAGGGAGGACCCACAAGGCCAGTGCATCTCAGACTCCAGTCAAGCAGTAAGTGGGACACCTGTCCATGGCCAAGCATAGGCCAGAGGGGTTCCCAGAAGGAGTATCTAGCCTGGGAACTGGATCTGCTGTGGAGGCAAGAGGCATGAAAGCAGGGTAAGGCCAAGTCAGAAGCTTGGCCAGCATCAGGCCCACATGGAGTGTCTCCTCAGGCTCCCCGAAAACCCTGTGATGAACTCACCGGTTGTCAGCGTGGCAGTGTTCCATGGACGCAGCTTCCTTAGTGGTGTCTTGGAGTCCCCCATCAGCCTCGAGTTCCGCCTGCTACAGACAGCCAATCGGAGCAAAGCCATCTGCGTGCAGTGGGACCCGCCTGGCCCGTGAGGACTCCTCCCAATCCCCTCACCCTCTGGAAACCCTCAGTCCTCCAGTCTACATGGCCTCAACCCCACCCACAATCTCACCAACCCCCTCAGCCTGCAGTGGGGTACCCCCTGTGGCAGCTCTGGCTATCCCGTGGCTGCAGGGCAGAGCAGCATGGTCTGTGGACAGCACGGGACTGTGAGCTGGTGCACAGGAACGGGTCCCACGCACGGTGTCGCTGCAGCCGGACGGGTACCTTCGGGGTCCTCATGGATGCCTCCCCTCGTGAGGTGGGGCTGCACCCATTATCTTAGGGGAGTGGGGTACCAAAGGGCCAGGGGTTGTGCCTGGCACCCCGCTGACCATCTCTGTCTCTATAGCGCCTGGAGGGGGACCTGGAGCTACTGGCCGTGTTCACACACGTGGTTGTGGCAGTGTCGGTGGCTGCGCTGGTGCTGACTGCGGCTGTCCTGCTGAGCCTGCGTAGCCTCAAGTCCAATGTGCGTGGGATCCATGCCAATGTGGCGGCCGCCCTGGGCATAGCAGAGCTCCTCTTCCTGCTGGGGGTCCACAGGACCCACAACCAGGTGCAGGGTCAAGGCCAGGGGACCTGTGTCCTGATGACAACCCCGCTGTAGCCCCAGGAAGGCACCCCAGGGACTGGGGTCAGGGCTGTGCAGGCGGGGACCAGGGTTTGGGGCAGAGGCTGGGGGAAGGGGACGGGGTCCGAGGCAGGAGAGGTGCTGACGCCCCCCTACCTGCCCTCAGCTGGTGTGCACGGCAGTCGCCATCCTCCTGCACTACTTCTTCCTCAGCGCCTTCGCATGGCTCCTCGTGCAGGGGCTGCACCTCTACCGCATGCAGGTGGAGCCGCGCAACGTGGACCACGGAGCCATGCGCTTCTACCACGCCCTGGGCTGGGGTGTTCCTGCCGTGCTACTGGGTGAGCTCCTGAGATCCCGAGCCTGTCTTGATGGTGAACCACCCACCCTCCCCAGTCTTATCCTCCCATGCCATCTACCCAGGGGAGGGGGAGCCAGCCATGCTCTCAGCCCTTTTGTCTCTAAGAAACACCCTGTCCCAGCCTGTGCCTTCTCTCTGCAAGGCCTTGCTGTCGGCCTAGACCCCGAGGGCTATGGGAACCCTGACTTCTGCTGGATCTCCATGCATGACCCGCTCATCTGGAGCTTTGCAGGCCCTGTGGTCCTGGTCATCGTGGTGAGCATGCTGAATCTGGTGCTGCCTGTGGGGGGTGCTGCAGAGGACAAGGGGGCTGGCTGAAGGCTGCCAGGGGAGGTGGGCACTGCAGCTTGCTGGGCTCCCTGCCTGTCTGCTCTCTGGGTGCTGAGTGACCACTCCCCACTCATCTGCCGTGGATATGAGGGCCTGGGATTAGAGCCCTGTGGCCTCTCCCTGCCTGCCTCTGCATCTCCATCATCCTCTGCCTCTCAGACTCTGTGACTCTCTGACCCTCATGCCCCTCTGTCTCCCTTCTGTTGCGGGTGTCTCAGTGTGGGAGCGTGTGGGCAGATGAGAACAGCTCACTGGCTCTGCCTCTCCCTGGGCGTCTTGGTCCCTCTGTCCCTGTCTCCCTCTGGCTCTCATAGCCTGTTTCTGTCTCTCTCTGCCCTGCTGTACTCACCGCACAGATGAATGGGACCCTGCTTCTCCTCACTGCTCGCACCTCCTGCTCCACGGGGCAGCGGGATGCCAAGAAGAGTTCTGTGCTGTGAGTTGGTGCGGGTGAAAGCAGGGGTTCTCAGGACAGCAGGCTCTTCCTGGAAGGGAGGAGGCAGGGGTGCAGGGACCCCACCCTGAGACCCCTTGCTGACATCCTTGCTGTCCGTGCTCCTTGACCTTGAGCTGCCAGAGCTACCTCTCAGCCTGGGGGGCTTACTTTGTGCCTGCCCCTGTGTCCCTGCCTGTCCCCCTCACCCAGCTCCTTGTATTTTTACCTTGTCCCCTTGTGGCCCCGAGTGCTCTCCTGCTCCTTTGTATGACCTCTTGTGTCCCCTGGCATCCCCCAAGACTCCCATGTTCCCACATTCCTAGTGTGTCCCCCACATGCCTTGCTGTGTCCTCTCTGTGAGACCCGTGTGACCCTTCATGTCCTCGCAGCTCCTTCCTGCTGCTGCTGCTGGTCAGTGCCTCCTGGCTCTTTGGTCTCCTAGCAGTCAACCACAGCATCCTGGCCTTCCACTACCTACACGCCGCGCTCTCCGGGCTCCAGGTAGCTCCGGACCCCAGCCCTGACACTGGCCCCGGTGCTGACCTGTAACATTGACCCCAAGCCCAGGCTAGGTGCTGATCCCCTCCTGAGCACCCTAGGCTCCCCCCCACACCCGCTTCCCTGCAGTCACAGCCCTCCTGCTAGCCCACAGACCCCATGTGACCCCTCTGATCTTTCACTGTCCTTCACTCACCCCTTACTGGCTCCTTACTGACCCTGGCTGACCCACAGGGCCTGGCAGTGCTGCTGCTCTTCTGCATTCTGAATTCTGATGCCCGGGCTGCCTGGACTCCAACTTGTCTAGGCAGGAAGGCAGCACCCGAGGAGGCGAGGCCAGCTCCAGGGACGGTGAGGGGCTGCCAGGGCTGAGGGCTCAGGGTGGGAGTGCGGGAAGCTAGGTCCCCTGCAGGGCTGGCTCACACGCCTGTCCCATACCCTCTCCCTACTCACCTCCCTCTGTCCTGCAGGGCCCTGGGGCCTACAACAACACAGCCCTGTTTGAGGAGAGCGGTCTCATCCGCATCACGCTCGGAGCCTCCACTGTCTCCTCAGTGAGCAGCGCCCGCTCTGGCCGGACCCAGGACCAGGACAGCCAGCGGGGACGCGGCTACCTCAGGTGAGTGGAGGGACTACCTTGTGATGGATGTACCAGCTGACTAGTGCTGGCAATACCAGGCCTTGGAGTGGTGGGTGGTTCTACCTGCGCTTTCTAGCCCCATCTGCATGCCGCTGGGTACCCACAGGCAATGCCAGCCACAAGCTGGGGGCTCTTGCATTTCCAGGGACAACATCCTGGTTCGACACGGCTCGGCTGCTGACCACACTGAGCATGGCGTCCAGGCTCATGCCGGCCCCACAGACCTGGATGTGGCCATGTTCCACCGAGATGCTGGTGGAGTTGGGGGCCTGGGAAAGGGAGGAGGGAGGCAGAGGCTCTCATACTACCCACCCTTTCTGTCACAAATTGGAGCTGTGGCTAATTGGGTGGGCTGAGCACTCCCCACAACATTGCCACAGGAGGCACCTCCCAGTCCGGTCTTGGGTCTCTAAGACACCCAAACAAGTCCCTGCCCCACCTTCTGCCCCCTGAGCCCTGCCCAGGCCCGCCCCCAGATCCTGGCCACGCCTAGCATGCAGCCTCTGAGCCCTAGGGCCCTGGCTTCCCACACCGCTGCTGTAGCTTCCTGCCTCTGACCTTCCCAACGCCAGGTGCAGACTCTGACTCAGACAGCGACCTGTCCTTGGAAGAGGAGAGGAGTCTGTCCATCCCGTCTTCAGAAAGTGAGGACAATGGCCGTACCCGAGGGCGTTTCCAGCGGCCCCTCCGCCGGGCAGCCCAGAGTGAGAGGCTCCTCACCCACCCGAAAGGTGATGATGGATGCCCTGACACCCCACACGTGACCAGGGACACCCTGTTTCCCACTTAGACGCAGGGATCCTGCTGAGGCCTAAGAGTGCCTGGGGCTGACCCTCTGGGGGTCCTGTGTGGACATCACTAGTATCCCATGAACCTCTACTAGCCCATGTCCTGGCAGTGCTCAGGAGGCCGTGGACAGCCTGGGTGACAGAGGACACTGGGCAGGAATGTGATGGAGTGGCACGTTGTCCCTCCAACCCCTCATCTTTCCAGAAGGCCGAGGCTCAGCCTGATCTCCCTGGTTGCTTCATCTCTTTAGATGGTGGTGAGCTGGCTGGCTACCCATTTCCTAGGTGCTCCCGCACCCTTCTGTTGCCACCTACATGGTGGGAGTGAGCACAGCCTGGGCTTCGAGGGTCACAGGGGCATGAGCCAGTGGGACCAACAGCTCCTGTCACCTGCCCTGGCCCCACAGATATGGATGGCAATGACCTCCTGTCCTACTGGCCAGCCCTGGGGGAATGTGAAGCAGCTCCCTGCGCCCTGCAGACCTGGGGCTCCGAGAGGCGCCTGGGCCTGGATACCAGCAAGGATGCTGCCAACAACAACCAACCAGACCTGGCCCTCACCAGCGGGGATGAGACCTCCCTGGGCCGGGCACAGCGACAGAGGAAGGGTAGGCTCCCCACCCCAGGGCTGTACTGCAGGGATCCCAAAGAGGGAAGTGCAAGGAGCTGCCAGGCCCTTACTCAGGGACTGCCAGCATCCTCAGCCCAAGCTGAGTGCTCCAAGTGTCTGTCCCACTGCCCTGCTTCCTAGAGCCCAGGGCTGCCTGTGTTCTAACTCGGGGAATTCCTGGCCTGTCCTATAGGAACTCTGGGGCTAGTTCTCCAACCCCAGTCAAGACCCTTAGACCCAGAGCCCATACTCTGATCTGGAAGGTTCCTGTCCCTGCTGTCCTGGAGGTTCCCGGAGTTTGTGCTTGTCCCTCTCCCTGGCATCATGGGGGATTCCTGCCTGCCTCTCTCTGCCCTGAGGGAGGTTGGTCGACAACCCTCTCTCCTTCCTGCCTCTGCACTCCCACTCCATGCTGCTGCCTCCTGCTCTCCCCCAAGGGGCTTCTCTGCCCAGCCCTGTGTCCCGGGCACCCCAAGGGATCTCTTCATCCAGGGAGTCCTTATCTCCTGTTCCTTTTCCAGGCATCCTGAAGAACCGCCTGCAGTACCCACTGGTGCCACAGGCCCGAGGTGCCCCTGAGCTGTCCTGGTGCCGCGCAGCCACATTGGGCCACCGGGCCGTGCCGGCTGCCTCATATGGCCGCATCTGTGCTGGCGGGGGTACTGGCAGCCTCTCGCAGCCAGCCAGTCGCTATTCTTCCCGAGAACAGCTGGATTTGTTCCTGCGGCGGCAGCTGAGCCGTGAGCAGCTTGAGGAAGCCCCTGCCCCAACTCTGTGCCCTCTGAGCCGGCCAGGCTCCCAGGAACACCTGGATGCCACGCCAGGCCGTCTGGAGTCCAGGGACCGGGGCAGCACTCTGCCGCGGAGGCAGCCACCCCGGGACTACCCTGCCACCATGGCTGGCCGGTTTGGCTCCCGGGATGCACTGAACTTGGGGGCACCCCGTGAATGGCTGAGCACGTTGCCTGCACCCCGCCGCACCCGGGACCTGGACCCACAGCACCCGCCCATGTCTCAGCCTCCACAGAGGCAACTCTCAAGGGACCCCCTCTTGCCATCGAGGCCCTTGGATTCTGTGTCTAGGAGCTCGAACTCTCGCGAGCGGCTGGACGAGGTGCCCAACCGGCACCCCTCCCGAGAAGCTCTCGGGCCACCCCTGCAGCTGCTCAGGGCTAGGGAGGACCCTGCCAGCGGCCCCAGCCACGGCCCCTCCACAGAGCAGCTGGACATCCTCTCCTCCATCCTTGCCTCCTTCAACTCTTCCGCCCTCTCCTCCATGCAGTCGTCCAGCACGCCCTCGGGCCCTCACACCACAGCCACACCTTCGGCCACAGCCTCAGCACTCGGGCCCTCCACTCCGCGCTCAGCCACTTCCCACAGCATCTCAGAGCTGTCACCAGATGCTGAGTAAGCACCATCCAACCACCTTGTTCATCCTCATCAGCCTAGGGCACCCTACTGTGTACTCTGCCCTGTGTCCCACCGCAGTGTAGGGTGGGGGTGGCAGGTGGGGTCTATCCCAGGCTCCACTCAGTCATAGTCAAGGGGCCACAGCCTGGGTCAGCAGATCTGTGAGGAACAGGGTGTGACTAGCTGGGATCAGTCACCTTCCCTGCAGCTCAGGGCTCAGGGAGCTGGGTGCCTTCCTAAGAGCTTAGCCAGATGAGGCAGTGGGAAGAGCCAGGGCCTGAAGTGCCAGGTGACTTGGGCTTTGAAAGGGACAGGGAAGGTTTACCCTGGGGTGCCAGGAGGTGCCAGCAGAGGAGAACATTCAGTTGTCTGTGAGTAAGTCATTCATTTGTTTAGATTTCTTCAGTCAATATTACACTCCTGATGCTGGTGGTCCCTGTGGAGTGGGGCTCCCAGGGATTTAGGTGGCTCCAGGTGCAACTCAGGGGCCTGCAGGGCAGTTGTTGGGGAAGGGCTGATAGGCACACCCAACAGTCAGCAGTGGATGGTTGTGGGGCCAGAGGAGAAGTGCTCAGGCCTAGGGGTGACCCAGCTGCTTCAAGCTGGGTGAAGGTTGTAGGGTTAGGAAGGGCTCCCCAGGGGGTAGGGCCAGGGGCCGGAGAGAACCGAGCAGCACCCAGTGATGGGAGAGGAGGGGAAGGTTAGGAACCTTGTGCCTGCGATTCTAAAGGGATGCCGAGGGGTGGGGGTGACAGGAGCTGACCCACCACCTGAGTTCCACTCAGCCCAGCCTTAGGTCTGGCTGTGTGGGAGGTCAGCTGGTGGCCCACGTGGGGGTTGAAGCTCTAGCATCACGCTGGCCTGGGTCTAAGCTCTGGTTCTGCCTCGGTAGCTGTGTGACTTTGGTCTCTTGTCCTTGAAAGAGATCTGCAGCAGCAAGCCCTTTGGGATGCAGGGATTCAGGAGACAAAATCTGGCATGGGTGTCTGGGAAGCGCACAAAGACCTGGGTGACCAAGGAGCCTAGCTGATGAGTCTGGGCATCCAGGACAATGAGTAGAGGAAGCTGAGAACCCTGGAGGGGGCACGTGCAGGCTGGGGGTCAAGAGATGAAGGATGACCAGGGAGGTGAGCAGAACAGGTCAGGTCACCTGACTTTGACTTCCACTTTGAACCCTACAGAGTTTCCAGAAGTGAGGGTCACTTGTGAGGGGCCCATGGAGTGGAGGGCGATGGAGGACCTGGGCTGAAGAAGAGACTGCAGGAGTTGGGGCCAATTCCAAGACAGCCTGCTAGCCCCACCTCCCAGCTCCTTGCATCTGTGAGCATGGGTGTGGCAGGTGCAGGGGGGCACTGAAGGGAGGACTTATCTACATTTTGTATGTAACCAGAGAGATATGCTCATGTTATTTTTCAGTCTGACTCCAGGGGTCTGAAGCTGGGCTGTGAGCAGGAGGGGATGGGGGATGTGCAGAGTTGGACCCTGCGTGGGTCCCTGGGCGACCCTGTGCTGTTTTTTCACATCTCCCTGGGGTGGGCACAGAGAGGAGGGGCAGAGGCCCTCCTCCCACCCCAGGCCCCGGCTTGCTGTGGGGAGGGGTCCAAAGCGTCCAAAGCGCAGAACTGATCTTTGCTTCTTCTCCATTGCTCCCAAGGCCAAACCTCTGGGCAAAGGGCGGGGGAGGAGGGATTTGGTCTTGAAAACAGGGGTCCTCTGGCCTCCTTGTGGGCACCTGCTCCTGCCACCCCTGTCCGTGGACGTGCGTGCTCATGACATGGAGGCCTTGCCACTTACTGCCTTATGATCTAGGACTGATGCTGTGGGGGGGGCGCCATGTGGAACAGCAGAGGTCCTGTTTACAAAGCCAGGCATCCCTTGGTCCCCAGGGCTGGGGGAGGGGTGCGTTGGGGGAGGACTCAGGCCTCTGTTCAGATGTCCCCACCCTGTACAGGTTGGGGGGCACTGGGGGAATTGGCTGGCCACTACCCCTGTCCTGCAAATGTCTATGGTGCCATTTGCTTTCTGCTCCCGGTCACTGCCCCCCAACCTGGTTGGGGTCGGGGGAACGGGAGGAGGGTGACACAGGGAGCAGAAGCCAGGGCATGCCAGACCCAGAATGTAGGTGCCACTGCCTCCCGTGTTTACAGGATCCTCTGTGGCCCCGGGCACCAGGGCTGTCTGCCACAAGTGACTCACTTCCCGCCACTCCCTGCCTCCCTCCCTCCCTCCCTTCAAAAGGGAACTATGACTGTTAGCAAAACTCTCCTTACTTTGACGTCCTCCACTGAGGACTTTAAAAATTTTGTTACTTTGTTTACAGGCTATTTAAATTTATTTTTTATTTTTTACTACATTTACAACTTGAAACTTGGAAACTTTTATACTTTGTTTACAGTTGAGAATGTTTTTTTCCTTGGTTTAGGGGAAGGTAGGGACAGTGGAAGAGGGACACCGAGGCCCCCCAGCGCTGGGAGACCTTGGGCCTGGCCACCCCGATGGCCTTCCAGGATAGAGCTCCACTCCGAGTCAGCATCCTCTCAGCGCTGGCCACAGTGGCTGTTGGACCGTGTGTGTGGTGGTGCAGACACCTGCCTACCCCCTCCTCCCCCCATGCAGGCTCTCCAGGCAGTTTCCAAGGAGAGATTAGAATTTCCTTCACTGACTGGTGCCAAATCCCACCAGCCAGGACCCCAGCCTCCCTCCCCACACTGCCCACAGCCCTGGGCAGGCAGCGCGGGCTGCTGCGGGAAAAGAAGGCGTCCTTGCTTGTCCTAGGTTCTGTAGATGCCCTCTTGGAGGGGTATGCCCCCTCCAGCCCAGCGGCGGCCTCCTTCCCCCCATCTGTGTAAATTGTTCCGTGAAGCCGCGCTCTGTTTTGGGAATAAACTTCTATAGAAAACAGCTGCCGCCTCTTCTGTCAGGGAGGGAGGGAGGGAGTCAGGCCATGAGTGACTTAGGCCACACTGACCTTTGCAGGGGAGCCCACTCCTTTCCCCACCCGAGAATATCCAGCTATTCTTAGCTCATGGCCTGGGCGGAGGACCAGCGTCACGTTGGGGTGGGAGCATAGGGGAAACCTCTCCAGGGAGGGCAGCCCTGGCCTGGCCTTTCTCTCCACCTACCCTGGGGGCAGGGTAGTGCCCTGCTACTGCGTGGGCACTAGCAGTTCCTGTCCCGCCCAGGGACAGCGCCCACAACGCCAGGCTCCCAAAGGAAGTCTTGTTCCTCCTTAGGTCAAGGCTGGGACTCCCTTGTGGCTCGGACGGCCCTGCTTGCAGGAGAGGCCTGGGGAACCAACTACTCAGGGTCTCAGAGAAAGCCTGAAGGGGACACGCTGAGCGGGAGGCTTAGGAATAAGCCCCAAGAGCCTGGATTCAGCACCAGTTAAGCCAGGGGTCACTGAACGCACCCCGCCCCCCCAGACCCGCCGGCAACCAGACGGGGATTTCTGCTGCTCCTTCCTCTTCGATCCTCTGCAAAGCCAGGAACCGGGAGGCGCGCCTGCAGCCCGTCAGCGTGCATCCTTGGATCCGGTTCTGCAGGACCATCTGCTGGGAACAGCGGCTCAGAGGGACCCAGATCAGGCGGCGGGCGAGGAAGGGGTTAAGCCCTCTGTCCGGAGGCTCGCCCCGCCCACTGTACGTCATTTAGCCCCGCCCCGCGCGCTGATTGGCCCGAGCGTCCGCGGATCTGCAGGGGGTCGCTGGCCGCGGACGGGGTACGGGTCCCGGAGCGGCCTCTGCCTGGAGATGGAGCAGTCGCCGCCAGGCCCCCGGCGGGCCGTGCGGCTCTCGGATGCAGCGGGGTAAGTGCAGGGCGGTGCGCGTGACCCCGAGGCGCGGGCTGCCGGCCTGGTGCCTCCACCCAGGGCTGCCACGTCCAGGCGTGCTCCAGCTGCCACGCGGTGCCGGTGTGAGGAAGAACCGAGGCCGGAGCGAGGGGCGCGCGGAGGCGTGGGCCCCTAGGGCTGCGCCCGCTGCAGGCGGTGAGGGCGGGGGCATCCTTGCCCAGAGGGTCCCTGGTCGAGGCCTGCGGACCCGCTGGGCCCCCAGCCCGCACCTGCCGACGACGGTCACAGCGCGGAGATTCCCGGCCCTTTAAAGCTCGCGCGGGTCTGCGTTCTCTGTTGAGCCTTACAGGAGTGAGGGAGGATGCACCACTCTCTCAGAGGTTGGACCAAAGACTGAGACCCCGCCCAGGGGAGGGGCCGGGATGAGGCCCCGCCTCCGGGGAGGGATCCAGGCCAGAGGTTCCGCCTTCCTAAGGGGAGGGTCAATTGAACAAGGCCTGACCTCCAGGGGAGGATCCAGACCGAGGCCCCACCCACCTAAGGGGAGGATCCAGTGGACGAGGCCCCGCCCTGGGGTGGGACCTGGGAGCGAGGCCCCGCCCTCTGGGGGGAAGGGATTCAGACCGAGGCTACACCCCCCAAGGGGAGGACCCAGTGAACGAGACCCCGCCCTCCAGGGGGAGGGATCCAGACCCGGGGCCCCGCCCCCAAAGGGAGGACCCAGTGAGCGAGGCCACGCCCTTGGGGAGGGGCCGGGGAGCGAGGCCCGGCTCCCCTGGCGCTGGTCCTAGGGTCGTGGGGGAACTCTTTAAGAATCCTGGAGTGACTCAGGGAGCTGACTGGGAACCCTAGTTGCTCTGAGAGGCAGTGGTGCCTCGAATCCTTGAGGCTCTTCCTCAGCCCCCCACTCCCTGCTCCACCCAGGCGCTTTGCAGGTGAGTTCCTGCGGGGCAGGTGGGAATCCTCTGGTTAGTTCAGTGCTTTTTTTCAGTCTTTTCCTGACAGGTGAGGAAGCTTCCTCCACAGGCTAGAGCTCCCCTCCAGGTCGCAGCTTCTTCCCGTCCCATACAGGCCTCCCCCAGTTGGACTCAGAGCACCCTGAGACACCCCCATTCCCAGGGGTGCTGTCCACTCCTGGAGAGATCCCCCTTCCCCTCAGAACCCCCTCTCCCTGACCTCTTCCCCACTAGCCCTTGGCCTTCCCAGTCCTGCCTGAACTTGCATGTACTTTGGGACCCCGGGGGCCACCATAGACACGCCACTGACCTTTCCTGGAGGGGAAAGTGTCATCCGGAGACCTGAGGGTCGACGAGAGAGCGGCTTAGGGAACTGGACCTCCAGTTTGCTGGGAGCCTTGCTTGCGTGTGTGCCAAGCCAGTCAGTACTGGCCGCGTGGGGCAGCTACAGAATGCCTCAGGGATTGGCCAGGGACCGACCAGGGGAGGGGGCTAGCAGGTGCACTGACCTGGACCTGGACCTGGACCGGGAGCTCAATCAGGGCTGGGCAGCCACACCTTAGGTAGAGATGTGGATCGTGTCCATCCTGTTACCCCTCCATGAGGGACTTTGGTCTAGAAAGGGGCCTCCCTCCACTAGCCAAAGTTCAGGTCAGGGACTGCCCTGTCTGTGCAGGCATGGGAAGAGAGCAGCTAGAGGCCGGGCCTGCCTTGATCTTTGGGTCTGGAGAGCTCAGGTGGGAGGTTGTTAATTCCCAGGAGGGACAAGGAGGGGGTCCCTCACTGTAAAACTCCCCTCTGCCGCTCCCCACCCCCGTGTTCTTGCCACTGCAGAGAGAGGGACACAGAGGCGCTGTTGCCAGCAGCCCAGGCCATGGAGCTGCGGAGGCGAGACTACTGCGTGGAGCGGCCACTGCTGAACCAGGAGCAGCTGGAAGAGCTAGGCCGCTGGGGCCCTGCACCCAGGACCCACCGCTGGCGTACCTGGCTGCAGTAAGGGCTGGCATGTGGGGTGGGTGGGGGTGCTGGCTGATCCCTGATGCACCCCCCCCCCACACACCTCATGCCTGATGCCTGCTTTCCATGTCCTCAGATGCTCCCGTGCTCGGGCCCATGCCCTTCTGCTCCAGCATCTCCCCATTCTCGCCTGGCTGCCCCGCTATCCTGTACGGGACTGGCTGCTAGGGGATCTCTTGTCCGGCCTGAGTGTGGCCATCATGCAGCTTCCACAGGGTGAGCCTGGGGTACTCTCTGCCAGGAGCCATGGCCGCTAGCCTCAGCCCCAAGCCCCTCCGAGCCAGAGCTGGGACTCAAGCTGTTGAGACCCATGGCCTCCAACCTGCGTTTTCACCATCCCATCCTTAGGCTTGGCTTATGCCCTCCTGGCTGGACTGCCCCCTGTGTTCGGTCTCTACAGTTCCTTCTACCCTGTCTTCATCTACTTCCTGTTTGGTACTTCCCGGCACATCTCCGTGGGTAAGTGGAGTCAGGCCTTGCTTCCCAGGAGGGCACCTCCACCTGCCTTGGAGGCCAGGGAGTGAGTGGGGTGACAGCAGGGTAGGAGCCCCGGGAACCAGGGCAGTGTTGGTGGTGGCCCAGCATCATCAGTGCTGTCTGGCATCATTATAGTGGCAGGGTACTTCACAACCCAGCCTGGGGGAGTCAGTGAGGCAGCCGGTGGGACCTGGAATTTGGCAGCAGCCAGGCCGAGACAGATGCTGTCTCCTTCTGACTGTAAAGGTAGCCTGGGTGTCCCCGGGCTGGTGGACGCTGGCACGGCTGGGGAGCTGACACACAGTCAGTACTCTGTGTTGTCCGGCCCCTAGCCAAGCCTGGCTGCCAGCTTGGCTCCGGCTTCTATAGCCACAGTGTGAGGATGTTTGTCCAGAACCAGATAGTTCCTGATCTGTCACTCTCACTTTTTCCTTTTCTCTTCCAAAACAATAATTTTGCTTCCTTTTATTTGAAATGCATAGAGAAAGACAGAGAGCTCTTTCATTCACTGGTTCACACTCCACCCTGCAAAATCCCCAAAACAGCCAGGACTGGGCCCGCACAATGGCTCAGTAACTAAATCCTCGCCTTGCGTGTGCCAGGATCCCATATGGGCATCTGTTCATGTGTTGGCTGTTCCACTTCCTTTCCAGATTCCAGGTTGTGGCCTGGGAAGGCAGTTGAGGACGTACCAAAGCTTTGAGACCCTGCACCCAAATGGGAGACCAGAAAGAAGCTCCCAGCTCCTGGCTTTGGATCAGCTCAACTCTGGCTGTTGTGGGCACTTGGGGAGTGAACCAGGGGATGGAAGTTCTTTTTATCTGTCTTTCCTTCTCTATATAAATCTTTCAAAACAAACAAAACAAAAAACAGCCAAGGCCAGGCAAAAGCTGGAAGCCTGGTGTCCTACATGGGAGGTGGGGCCTCACGCACTTGATTATCACCTGCTGCCTCCTTGCGTAAGCATCAGCAGGATCTGGGTCTCAGACTGGATATTTGGTATGGGATGTAGGCATCCCACTTAATGATGTAGCCACTGGGCCACACAGGTGCCTTACCTGCCTCAGCTTCAGGGTAGAGCAGTGTCCTGCCTTCAGACCTGCCCTGTCCTGTCCCTGCAGGAACCTTTGCTGTCATGTCTGTGATGGTGGGCAGTGTGACAGAATCCCTGGCCCCGGACGAGGACTTCCCAGCTGTCTCAAACGTCACAGTCAACCTGCTGGATGCCTCAAACTTCACAGTTAATGAGGCTGCCAGGGATGCAGTTCGGGTGCAGCTAGCCTCCACGCTAGGCGTCCTGGTTGGCCTTTTCCAGGTACCCCAGGTCCCCATAGCACTTCTGGGTGCCCATCTGTTATGTCCCCTCCCCCTCTTCACTATCCGCACACACCCTCCATTCCCTTTACCCCCACTTTCTGATCCCACCTGTCCTGGGGCTCACCCTCTTTAGCCCCGCCAGGAACCTTGTCTCTTCTCCACAGGTAGGGTTGGGCCTAGTCCGCTTCGGCTTCGTGGTCACCTACCTGTCTGAGCCCCTGGTGCGCAGCTACACCACAGCTGCGTCTGTGCAGGTCTTCATCTCACAGCTCAAGTATGTGTTTGGCCTCCAGCTGAGAAGCCGCTCCGGGCCACTCTCCCTCATCTATGTGAGTGAAGAGGGGCAGCAGGCAGAGGATCAGAGTGGAGGAGAGAGTGCCAGGCTGGGGCTCTCTGAGTGCTGGCTGTGACGCCCCCTCTCCTTAGACAGTGCTGGAGTTCTTCTGGAAGCTGCCCCAGACTGTAGTGGGCATCTTGGTCACCGCCCTGGTGGCTGGACTGGTGCTTGTGGCCGTCAAGTTGCTGAGTGAGAAGTTGCGGCGCTACCTGCCCCTGCCCATCCCAGGGGAGCTGCTCACGGTGCGAGTTGCTGCAGGGAGGGCTGGGTGAGCCAGGCTGGATCTCTGTCCCAGACTGCCTCCCATGGGGGTGTGTGAGGGCCGGTTAGGGCAGCCCCCATGTCCTCCTAACATCCCGCTAGCATCTCCATCTCCCCAAAATCCTGTCTCCCACCCTCCTGGCCACTAGTCCCCACACCTCTTTTGAAGGCCTTCTTCTGAAGTCTTCCTCAGACTCTTCCTTTCTTTGTCTCTTCCCACAGCTCATTGGGGCCACAGCCATCTCCTATGGTGTGGGCCTGGAGCAGCGATTTGGGGTGGACGTTGTGGGCAACATCCCTGCAGGGTAAGTGTAGGCCACCGGAACTGGGCAGGGTTGGGGTGGGGCTTTGGAAGCCAGGGCCTGGCCCCTTCCTGTAGTCCTTACAGGGGTCTCCTGCAGGCTGGTGCCCCCTGTGGCCCCCAATCCGCAGCTGTTCGCACAGCTCGTGGGAAACGCCTTTGCCATTGCCGTGGTGGGCTTCGCCATTGCCATCTCGCTGGGGAAGATCTTCGCATTGAGGCATGGCTATCGCGTGGACAGCAACCAGGTCTGGGGGTGGGAGGTGGGGGTGGGGAGGTGGGTGTGGGACATGGAGGGGGCCGTGCTGGGCGCTGTGGGTGAAAGACAGCGCAGGTGGACAGTGACCAAGGCTCTGGAGGCCCTTGAGTGTGGATGCAGGTTGGGGTGATGAAATACTGACTGCCCCTTCCTTCCCCTCCCCTGCCAGGAACTGGTGGCCCTTGGCCTGAGTAACCTCGTTGGGGGCTTGTTCCAGTGCTTCCCTGTGAGCTGCTCCATGTCCCGCAGCCTGGTGCAAGAAGGCACGGGGGGCAACACACAGGTGATGTCATGCATGGGTGGTGGGGGATGTATCCCTGTGGGCAGCACTGCTGTGCCATAGTGGACGCCTCCCCCCTACACACTTTACTCACTCACACCTCTACACACCCCTGCAGGTTGCTGGAGCCGTCTCTTCCCTTTTCCTCCTGCTCATCATTCTCAAACTTGGGGAACTCTTCCGAGACCTACCCAAGGTGAACCCCTGCCTCATCAGCCAGGTCCCAGGTTAGGGAGAGGGACTGCAAGGATCGCAAGACCACTCTCCGTGGAGGAGGACATGGGGTGTCCGGGATCTGACCTACAACATGAGGATCCTTGTCATAGGCTGGGAGAGGCTCATGAGCCAGGGGTCAGGGCCATGAGCCCCTGTGATGTTCCCACCCTAGGCAGTCCTGGCTGCTGTCATTATTGTGAATCTGAAGGGCATGTTGCTGCAGTTCAAGGACATCCCCACCCTCTGGAAAACAAACCGGATAGATCTGGTAACAGCTTGGGAGTTGGGGAAAGGGACTGGGACGGGGCATGGGGGTCAGCAGAGTTGGTGGAGGGGATTTTGGCCTTGGTGGCCTCACTAAAACCCCTTGACCACTGCTGTTTCATTGTAGCTCATCTGGCTGGTGACCTTTGTGGCCACCATCTTGCTGAATCTGGACCTGGGTCTGGCAGTGGCAATAGTCTTCTCACTGCTGCTCATGGTGGTGCGAACGCAGCTGTGAGTCCCCCAGTTCCATGTCCTGTCCCTGGCCTGGCAGGACAACCTGGTAGAGCGGGAATCAGCTGCCCAGTCCAGCTGTGGTTCCCGGCTGGTCTATTCACCTTCTCATATTCACTCTCTCTTGCACAGGCCCCACTACTCAATTCTGGGACGGGTGCCAGACACAGATATTTACCGAGACGTGGCCGAGTACTCAGAGGTGAGTGGCAGGGACCAATGGGGAGCAAGGAATGGGAGGAGGAACAGGAAGAGGAGGCCCCTTATCCATCCCTTTCACCCTGATGGGGACAGTGGGTACTTGGCAATTTCAAGCCAGGAGTTTGGGTCTGCTGAGCCCTATTTGTGGTCCAAGAGGGTTGGGAAGGGATGCAGGTGGCTCTGGGAGCCAGCAGCATAGACACCTCCTGCACAGCAGCCTGCGTCAGGGTGCCCGAGCAGCAGAGTCCTGAGTACCAGGATCTTGGGGTGCTGCTCCCTGATGGGCCCAGTTGGGCTGAGTGCAGAGGACATCTCATGCCAGGTGCTGGGAAGGGGTGGGAGGGTTGGGCCTTGAAATAAAATAACTGCATTCCTTGTGACCTGGAACCTGCACATCTGCAGCTTGGCGGGGGAGGAGCCAAGGAATCTGAGCCAGAGGAGGAGGATGATGACTACCAGGCTGGGCTTGGGGGAGGGGCCTGGCAGGACAGGGTGCACACAGGTTAATCAATCCCAGAGAACTGAAGACTCAGGAGGCCTGAGCTGCTGAGCCGAGGTCCTGGCAAAGGGCAGGAGGGGTACAGGGTGTGCCCCGCCAGACCTGGCTGTCAGAGGATCAGGCAGGGGCCAGGGAGCAGGTGAGGACTCTGAAGGTGTGGGTCATAGGCTGGGTTATGGGTATGCAGATGTGCTGAGCATAGGAAACTCTTGGCCGGGCAGGGGGCAGCAGGAGGACAACATGCAGGATCGGGGGAGGAGGGACTCTCGTAACCCCTAATGTTCCACCCCACCCCAGGCCAGGGAGGTCCCGGGCGTGAAGGTCTTCCGCTCCTCGGCCACCCTGTTCTTTGCCAATGCTGAGTTCTATGGTGATGCACTGAAGCAACGGGTGAGGCGGGGGTCCTAGGGGTAGGGGTTGCTGTGGCCCTAATCCTCACCAGAGAACCCAGTCTCCTGACATGTGCCCACACAGTGTGGCGTGGATGTCGACTACCTCCTCTCCCAGAAGAAGAAGCTGCTAAAGAAGCGAGAGATGCAGCTGAAGCGACTCAAGAAGAAAAGCAAAACCCAGCCTCAGACACAGGCAGGGCTCCCTGAGCTGTGATCCCAGCCCCTGTCCAGCCCACCTTCGATCCACCCCCTCCCTGCCCACCTCCACCCTCAGCTGTTTCTCTTCCCCTCTTACCCTGCATCTCTTCCTCCTCTCCCTGCTCTTCTCCTTCCCCATCTAGAGACCCTGCCCCATCCCCAGCAGGTCAGGGTCTCTGCAGCTGTTCCCCACTACTGATCCAAGCCTTTCAGCCCAGCTGCCCCAGAGCCCACAGCCTCCAACCTTTCCAGAGCCTGGAGAACACCAGGGACTTCCTGGTGCAGGTGTTGGAGGCAGCTGAGAGAATTCTCCTGTCCCCCCGGCACAGGCTGATCCTTCCAAGGTCACCTCTGTTTCCGTCTATGTCAACCCCAGCCCGGGAGGCATCAAGATCAATGACGTGGGAGACATCAAGAGCAATGACGTGGAAGACTCAAGGGAAAAGGTGAGGCTGGAGATGGGGGAGGTAGGACTGGTTGTGACTCCCAGAGATGTGGGTGCCCACACTTCTTCCCCAGGACTGCCATGGCCCCCACAGCTGTGGGTTCAGAAGTGTGTTCTGATGGCAGGGGGAACAGTTGATGGCCCAGACGCAGTGTGGGGCCTGCTGTAGTGAAATGCCATGGAGTTCTGCATGGGGGGCTCTTTGGGGCCCCACAGTCTGTGTTCACAGGTGAAAGGGAAGACTTGGGTACATGGAAAATGGTCTAGGAGTCCAAGGGGACATTGTCAGACCAGGTCAGAGCCCCAGGGCTTGTGCCAAAGTGCCTGTGTGGGCCGGGAATGTATGTGTCTGGCCGAGGCCAGGGCCTGTGTCCCAGCAACCCTATCTTCTGTGTGTCACCATGTATCCTTCTCTCCTGTCCGGGCGTAAGAACTGTGTCCTCATGGGTGCCCCACGGGCCCCACAGATGTAAGATTAGACACTTGTGCACTCACATCTGACTTGTGTCCCTGCATATCTGTGTGCCTGCCCTACCCGCATCCCTGTGAGGCATGGCCCCTGGCAGCATGGGTGTGTCCCTAGCAGGTAAAGCCCGGAGATGACCTGAATGGTGTGGCGGCCAGCAGTCAGGAAGATGCCAAGGCACCGGGCGGCTCCACACTGAGGATGCTGGGCCTGCCCCAGCCCGACTTCCATAGCCTTGTCCTGGATCTAGGCACGCTCTCCTTCGTGGACACTGTGTGCATCAAAAGCCTGAAGAACGTAAGGGTGATGGGAGGGTGAGAGCAGGCCTGGGCCCCCAGGTGTCATGCTGACCCTATCACTTGCCCTGAGAGCGCCCACTCACAGCCGCTCTCCCAGAGTTGGCTGAGCCCCTTCCCTGCGGTCACTGAGTCAGGTCCCATTTTTGACTGCAGATTTTTCGTGACTTCCGGGAGATTGAGGTGGAGGTGTACATTGCGGCCTGTCACAGTGAGTGCTGAGGGGACTCCTGCTGAAGGGCTTGCCTGGCAGCAGCACCTCTGCTGGCCCTAGAGGTTATGGGCATCCTGGGGGCCAGGGGCCAAGGGTCAGAAGTGACTAGGTCCTTAGCCATGGGGCATGATGAGCAGGGAGATGTGTCTGACAGCTCAGAGAGCTAGATAAGATGCTTTCCTCACCCACAGGCCCTGTCGTTGCCCAGCTCGAGGCTGGAAACTTCTTTGACACATCTATCACCAAACGCCATGTCTTTGCCTCTGTCCACGACGCTGTCACCTTCGCCCTGCAACACCCAAGGCAAGAGGCCAGCAGCTCTGCTTTGGTAAGCTGACCTCTGGCTGCTAGGGGCTGTCTGTGTTCATCTGTTGCTTGTCCCAACCCTGATCCTGACTACAGTCCAACCTAGTGACCATGGCCCTGCCCCCAGTGGGCAGTTCCCCCTCCTGTCTTTGAATGGAGCTGCCACCGTGGCTGGGGGGCTGACCTAAGGGAGAGGCTGGTGTGCATCCTCAGGTCTGACCGGAGCTTCTCGCCTCCTCCATCTGTCCAGGCCACAAAACTCTGACTGTGTCACCAGGCCTGCCTGAAACCGCCAGCACCTCTACAAGTCGACATGGGATGCTCCAGGAACCCCTCTCCGCCCCCGACCCACTCATCCTGGTGCTGCCCTGGAGTCCCCTCCGAGCACATACACACAACTCAGGGATGGAGGTCTGGGACTCCCAGTTCAGTGCTCCAGGCCAGGGCTGGGGCGCCATAGTCAGGCTGGCCTTGGCTAGGCGCAGGGAGGGAGCCGCTGCCTGTTTTTAGCCTCAGGAATAAAGATTGGTCAGCTCTGTTCCTGGCTCTGCTATGCCGCGGTGGGGACTGGGATGAGACTGGGGGAGGAGTGGTAGTCCACAGCTTTGGCTCCTAACCCCTCTTACTTTCCAGAGGGGAGCCTTGGGGTCACAAACTGGGGTGCAATTCAGGGAGGACAGGGCCAGGCAGGAAGAGTACAGAACTGGGGAGCAGTGGGGAGGGTCAGGACCCAGTGTGGGGGCACCCCACCATAGTCAGAGCTGCTTCTCTGATGTGATTCTCTTCTCAGGGACCCTGGATCAGGTGCAGAGAGGGTTCAGGGAGTCCCTAAGGAGAGGAAGAGGGCTGCTGGTCTATATTTGAAATAAACAAGCATGGCTGACTTTCCGGGCATTCCTACATCTGCCCTGTGATTAGATTAGCCTGACTTGGCAGAGCCCTGTCAGTGTGTGGCTCAGTGGGCACATGCATTGGGGATGATGGGGTGGATGCCCGAGCCTTCCTGAGCTTCAATGCCTCAATGTTCATGGCAGCAGTGGCAACAGTACACCACCTGGGCTGCCTGATGAGTGAGAGATGAGAAGATGCCAGACAGCACTGGGTTTGGACCAGCCACTCTGAACACACAGCCTGTGCCACTTACCGGGTACAGACCAGGTGCCAGGCGCTGGATGTGGTTCCCACAAGAACTGGCTAGCCCAGTGCTGTGTCAGCACCCAGAGCTGGAGCTTGCTGGGTGCTCAGCCTTGGTTGAGGGAGGCAGGTGTGGGAAAGCAGGCAGCAGGCGATGCTCCCGAGGCTGTAGAGTAGGGACTGCATTTTTCCAGGTGACACATGGTGACTTTCCAGGAAAGGAAAACAGAACAGCGATGGGGGAGGGGTGGGAATAATGAGGCCAGCAGAGACAGGAACGCTGGGCAGGAAGACCCCACAAACCAGTACCAGTTTATTTTCATCTACTCAAAAGGCAGAGTGTGTGGCCTAGCATGATAGCCTAGTGGCTAAAGTTCTTGTCTTGCCCATGCAGGGACCCCATATGGGTGCTGGGTTCCCAGCTGCTTCACTTCCCATGCAGCTCCCTGCTTGTGGCCTGGAAAAGCAGTAGAGGACAGTCCAAAGCCTTGGGACCCTGCACCTGTGTGAGAGACCTGGAAGAGACTCCTGATTCCTGGCTTCAAATCAGCTCAGCTCTGGCTATTGCAGCCACTTGGGGAGTGAACCAGCAGATGGAAGACCTTTCTCTGTCTCTCCTTTTCTCTGTGGATCTGATTTCCCAATGAAAATAAAATAAATCTTTAAAAAAAAAAAAAAAGGATGGTAGAAATCTTCAATCTGCTGGTTGACTCACTAGATGTTTTTTTTTTTTTTTAAGATTTATTTTATTTTTATTGGAAAGGCGGATATACAGAGGGGAGAGACAGAGAGGAAGATCTTCTGTCCGATGATTCACTCCCCAGGCGGCCGCAACGGCTGGAGCTGAGCCAATCCAAAGCCAGGAGCCTCTTCCAGGTCTCCCATGTGGGTGCAGGGTCCCAAAGCTTTGGGCTGTCCTCTACTGCTTTCCCGGGCCACAGGCAGGGAGCTGGATATGGGATCCCAGGTGTGCAAGGCAAGGACCTTAACCACTGTGCCATCGTGCCGGGCACAACTCCCTAGATGTCTTTAACAGCCAGGGCTGGCCAGGCCAAAGCCAAGAACCAGGACCTTCATCCGGGTCTCTGTAATAGGAGACACAAAGGCTTGGGCCTTCCTCCCCAGGTGCATATGCTGAGACTTGAACCTGTGACAAGGGGAGGGGCTGCCAGCTCCACCATTTGGGGAGGTACTGAGGCTGGGTGTAGGAGTCCAGTGGGCAGCTTGGTGGCACTTCCTTGATAAGTCTAGGGGTGCTTCTGCTGGTGGAGAGAAGCAGACTTTAGGGACCATGGGGTGTTGGATATTGGGGGATGGGACCGCAGGTGAAAATAGGTGAGAGAATGCCCCTTCAGCCTGGGCTGGCAGGGGAGTGGGCCTCAGGCCAGACGTTGTCCTCCAGCCTGGGACCTGGCCTCCTACCCACCTGGACCAGGGCCAACTGCCCTGTGCGAGGTCGAGGGCCCAGCGGAACTGCTGCCTCAGTGAGCAGGCCTGTTCCGGGGGAGGGGTGTTTGCCTGTTACCAGGCGCCCGTGTTCCAGCCACTGGGCACTGGTCGCAGCCATGCTGCTCGTGTTGTCCTTTCTGCCGTTGCTGTTCCTACTGATGCTACCCGCCTCCTCCCATGCCTGGACCCGACCCCTCTGGTACCAGGTGGGGCTGGACTTACAGCCTTGGGGGTGCCAGCAGAACAACCTGGATGCCTGTGAGCGTAGCATCAGCTGTCCCGGCTACTGGGTGAGCCTGGGTGGGAAGAACATCTACCCCGTGGCAGGGGTCACCCTCACCACCACCATGATGCTGATGTTCAGCCGTGCCATGCTGCAGCGCTGGCGTTCTCAGGGTGCCAAGGGCGAGGTAAGTGCAGCCGCCCCGTCCCCTGACCTCAGACCCGGCTCCTCTCACCCTCACACCCACTGTCTGTCCACACACTTCCACTGGGACCACACCAATTCCAAGTCCAATACCTACCCCAGTCATCCTCATTCAGTACCCCTATTCTTCTTCCAGCTGCCCCGGGACCCACTCCTGACCCACAGCTCACCTTCCTCAGCTCTAAACCCTTAGGCACCGCCCCACCCCCACCTCCACCCTATAGCTGCCCCCAGCCCCATCTCTTCCCCTCATTCCTGCCTTCTGGTCTTCCCCTCAGGATCCGCAGGTGACTGTTGGCACCTGCAAGGCCTGGAAACAGAAGCCTGTGGTCTCAGAGCGTGCCTTACTCCGTGGGGTCCTGCACATGCTCGACGCCCTTCTAGTCCACATCGAGGGCCACCTGCAGTGCCTGGCCACCCAGAAGCAAATCCAAATAAAGGAGCCTCCCACCCAGCTTGGGTGATTCGGCACATGCTCCCCCTTGCCTCAACTCAGCCAGCATCTGGCCTGTGTGTGCTTGCCGTCGGGTCCGGTGGGTGTCCTGGGTGGGTGGATGGAGCCCCTGCCAGTTCATGCTGCACAGGAGCACTGTCTCTTCCTCTCCAGCACTGACAACCATAGGCCTGACCAGTCCCCGGGGAGTCCTGTGTGGTAGACACTTAGCCATCAAGGCTAGCTTGGGGGGCGGTACAGGGAGGACTTCCCAGAGGAGGTGACAATCTGACCTAGCCCTGAAGGGCAGTGGAGGCAGGGACAGATCAAGCAGGTGGAACCTCAGGTCTAGCCAAGGTCATGCACATCAGCAGGTATGGGCAGTGAACCAATAGAAAGATGATCGCTCTCTCCCTTTCAGCTAAAAAGAAAAACAATATTGAAACCAGCAACTCAGATATGTGCGTAACAATGTCCCTTACAGTGTTTGAAAAACATGTCTAGCAGCAGATGAATGAATACAGAAAAGGCACTCCTGAATTTCTGATGTCGGCTCTGTGCTGCAACGTGGATAAGCCTCCAATACAAGACTGAAGTGTAGCTAGCCGACCCAGAAGGGCAGGTACTGTAGGACTCCCTGCTAGGGGATCTGGAAGAAGCAAGTCTAAAGAATGAAGCCTGGAGGCTGCCAGGGCATGCAGAGGGGAGGATGGGGAGTCCGGTGAGGGCTGAGGAAGTTTTGGAAACTGATAATGGTGAGGATGGCTGTTCTGGGAAGCAGCTGGGGATGGCTCCAGCACGTGAGGAATTCCCCTGGGTGGGATCCACCAGATGGAGATCCTGAGCCCTGACAAAGGCTCCTGGCTCAACCCTGACTGCTGCAGGCATTGGGGGAGTGAAAACGTGGATGAAAAAGCTCTCTCCATCTCTAGTTCACTCTGTTTTCCCTCTGTGTGTGAAAATGTCTGCATCTCAAATTTGAAACAGATAAACTCTAATCAATAAATCCAATCAAAAGTAAGCAAAAGGATTTGAAGAGACAAATCTTGAAAGAAAGACTATTGGTGATGTTAACAACAACAAAAATAACCATATTAAAAAACATAAGAAAGAGAATGAAATTCTGATTTATGTTATAGGATACATGAACCTTGAGGCTACCACGTTAAAGTCAAATAAAGGCAGATATTGGATGAATTCACACGCAGAAAGGCAGATTCACAGGAGTAGAACAAGTTACTGGGGGAAGGAGGAAGTGGTGAATGATTGCTTAAGGATTAGATAGTTCCTGTATAAGATGAAAAAATTCTGAAAACAAGTAGTCACGATGACTCCACAACTTGTGGGGGTACCAGATGCCACTGGATAGTAACAATTACTAACTAGTTAAAACACTAGAATATTAAAAAAGAAGTAGGGAGTTCTGTTACAACACAGTCATATAAACAGCTACTTGAGATGCTGGCATCCTGTGTAGGAGTATCAGTTCGGGTCCTGACTGCGCCACTTTGATCCAGCTCCCCTGCTAGTGTGCCTGGAAGGCAGCAGAGGACGGCCCAAGCACCTGGCCACTGCCACCTCCATGCGAGACCCAGACGGACCCCCAGGATCCTAGCTTCAGCCACGATTCCTGGGCTTTGAGGCAGTGATCCAGGGATTGGAAGACCCCCCACCCCATTCTCTCTCCTTTCTGTCACTTTGCCTTTCAAACAAATCTGATTAAATAAAATAGGGACTAGGCGGTTCAGTCTAGCTGTTGAAATACCCATGTGCCACATCAGGGTACCTGGGTTTAATTTCCTGGCTCCAGCTCCTAACTCTAGACTTCTTTTAAATATTTATTTATTTATTTATTTATTTATTTATTTATTTATTTATTTATTTATTATTTTGAATGGCAGAAGTACAGGGAGGAGAGATGAGAGAAAGAGGGGCCTGGCACAGTGTGGCCTAGTGGCTAAAGTCCTCACCTTGATCCCATATGGGCTAAAATCTGTGCCAGGATCCCATATGGGCACTAGTTCTAATCCCTGTGGCCCTGCTTCCCAACCAGATCTCTGCTTGTGGCTTGCGAAAGCAGTCGAGGATGGCCCAA